CCTCTGTAAGCTCAAGTTTGACACTGCTGATAGCATGAGCAGATTGCTGTCTGTAATATTCCTATAATAGGAAACATTTCCAGTGCTCATTCATAACTTGCTTTCTCTGAGACTTATTAAAATTTATTTCCTTTCTGTCCTTGATAATAGGGAATAATCCCACTTAATCCCACACCATTCTTTGTGCCAGGACAGCACGTTGTCATTTCCAGTGTGTGTACTCAGGCTGAGTAGTCTGATGACTGTACCAGACAGATTATTTTTAAAGTAGCTTTTATATTCTCCCAAGGCTGAGCAGCTCCATGGCCATGCAGGGATCCACCCCGATGGCTTCAGATCCAAGGTTCAGCCCCAAATCTCTACTCAGTGCTATGCTACCCGACACAGAAATCAATCCTACAATCACAGGTGTTCAGAGCGAGCAAGGGAAGGACAATCAAATCAATGCTTCACACAGAAAGGGAGGGGAAAAATAAACTTCCATCAGTGCAGGAGAGGGGGAGTGGACAGGGGACAGAAAATACGGAGCCGTGTAACTATATAAAGAAATACACTCCCGTGGCAGAAGGATAGGTACAAACTTTAACTTACAAACATTCCTGAAATCATAAAGAGACAGCAGCATTGGGGAAAAAGATTTGGTCCGTTCTGTCAGATGGACTTCAAGTTACGAGTGGTATTTTTACCACAGTTATTTTGGTTTCAGCGCTTTCTTTTTCAGGCAAATCAGATGAATTTAACTTATTAAATCTCAGCAAAGCAGAAAAGCACCTCAATTGGAAAAGAAATCAGTCCATATTCTACATCTTATTAATGCAGTAAAGAGCAAATGCAGAAATCTGGGAGGCTCGGAAGAGTTACTAAACAAAGCAACTTATTTTAAAACCATTTTGAGGGTTACATTTCAAGTCTAAACCCATCTCGTAGCAGCACAGAGATCCCATTTAACCATTGTGCATGGTTCTGAAGAATTCAGGCTAATGCTCACAAAGCACCACGCCATCACTTCAACTCAGAAGAGCGGCTGCATTCACAGACCCCTTCCCCATGACTATATGCTGCACGTTCCACAAGTCGTTTTGGCGCGGGTGTTCAAATAAGTCTACAAACGGATCAAGGTTTCAGAATAAGTCGCCGACTGCGACACGTCCAATTGAGAACAACGTTCCTGTCCGTGCCCAGGAACAGTAAACAAGACAGTGAGCCTCTGTCTTTCTAAGGAGAATGCAGACCCCCTCGCATCCACATAGAATAATCAGGCAGGCAGGCAGACACACACAAAATAAAACTGCATTCTTTCCATCACATGAGAACTATTTCCCTAACACCCTTATGAGGCAAAGCCTTCCAGATCACTCATTTGTTTCCAAGTGCACCCTACGTTACCAATTGTTTGCTTGTTTTGCCAGCCAGAAAACAAACGCGGCATCGCGCTCTTTCAGTGCTGGATGGCTGATGGCCAAAGGAACAAATCCATACAGTAGGAAGGGTTGGCAGGTATTTTTAATATGCACCCACACTATACTGATTTCTTTTGGACGTTTTGATAAGATTTTGAAAGTGAGCTGAATGGACAGTGAATCCATTCTTTTCGACAAGGGGAGATGGCTATATCAGATCCAGTGTTCATGCCTAAAAGCACAGTTTGAAAAGAAAGGAGACAAGCTTTGATCCCAAGCCACTTCATGCTTTCCACAAAAAATAAAAGAAAGAAAAGGAAAAGCCAAACCATAACACAAACTTAAGTAGCTGTACGTCATGCATATCTTTTCCTGCATTGAAAATGGGTTCGGAAACTCATACCTCTCCAGGTGGCTTCTCATTTACAGGCTAATGTATAACATTAACAGATTGAACAAAGAACAACAATTATCATTAACAACATTTATACTGTTGAGAATAAAATGTAGACTTCAAAGCAAAACACACAAATTCCTGAAAGAATAAGTACAATACCTTGTAGCCGCATCTCTGGAAATAGGCTTCCTCTTCTTTTTTAGCTAACTCACTGCGTTTGAAATATTTCTTATTTCCCTAAAAGAGAGGAAAGCCGTTAACATTTTACAGTTTCAGAAACCTGTGGGAAAACAGCTCGAACCTCCTTACTTGATGCGGTGAATTCAGCTACCTCCTTTCACAGAGCTGGCTGCAGTGCCATGTAAAAAGCACAAATTGGGAGCACCTCTGAAAATCAGCAATACAGGGTGACTTCATGGCACAGTTATAAGCAGGCCTGAAAAGTCCAATGAGGTCACCAGTGCTTGAGAAAAAAAAAACTTTGTCACACAAGATCACGGTCCCAGGTAGCATAAAGCTCCACTTCAGATGTGCACAACAAGGCTCAGACTGTACAGTACAGGAAATATGTTTAAAAAACACGTTAAAAATGTGACTTCACACTAAATAAACTGAATAGGAGTACTCATCTTTGTGCAATGCATTCTGTATACTAAATCAGTGCACCTGTGAAGAAATGTGTCTGATGAGACCATCCAGACTCTGTGGCTGGTAACTGCAGTTTTAGGGACATGGTTTAGGGGGTGATAGTGGTGGTAGGGGGAGGTTGGACCAGGTGAGCAACCACTGCTGTCAAACTGACAAATGTGAACGGAGGTCATCAGAAAGCCTCCCAATGTCACCAAAAAAAAAATGGTTTGGGTTGGAAGGGACCCCAAAGCCCCCCCAGTGCCACCCCCTGCCATGGGCAGGGACACCTCCCAGCAGCCCAGGCTGCCCAAAGCCCCATCCAGCCTGGCCTTGGGCACTGCCAGGGATGGGGCAGCCACAGCTCCTCTGGGCAGCCTGGGACAGTGCCTCAACACCCTCAGAGTGAAGAATTTCCCCCTAATGTGTGTTTAACGAGTACACTTCTGCTGCAGACCAAAAGATTGTTTTAACCCCAAAACATCACATTAAACTTTGGCTCTAACATGAAGTATTACTCCCTTCTCTGTACCTTGCCTGACCCACAGCAGCCACCAACTGCCGCTCTTCACCCCCTAACACCCAAATCCCCACTCAGCCGTTCCCAAAAGCACTCTGCTTCCCTCAACCTCCCTTTAGTGCTGTGCTCAGCTTTGGGCCCCTCACTACAAGGACATCGAGGCCCTGAAGAGTGTCCAGAGCAGGGCTCCCTTTCCCTAACCCCAGCCAAAACAGCCCAGGCAGAGGTACAAGGCGGGGCCCTGACTCCAAGGCCGCTGTCCCTAAGGACCCCCCCGGTGTCCCCAAGCCCCCCCAGCCTCACCCCCACCAGCTCCTTGTCCTCCAGCTGCTGCCGCTTGCGGCTGATCTCCCGCTTCAGGATGTCCATGGCGGCCTTCCTCCACCTCCTCCTCCTCCTCCTCTTCCTCCTCCGCCGGAGGTGCCGAAGCAAAACAACGCCGTCACTTCTGGGGCTCGGCCTCGGGCCGCCGAGCTCCTCACAGCGACCCCTGGCGCCTTGGAGGTGTGGGGGGAGACCTCAAAATGGGGTCCCGGGGGGCTTCAAAGGGGTCCCGGGGGTCCCTGGCAGACAAAGGAGGGCGGCCGACAGCGCGGGGAGCCCGCAGGTTCCCCCCTTGTGCTCAAAGGCTGAGAGAGGTCTGGGCTGAGTCACGGAATAAAAGCATAAATGTTGGAGAAAAACTCCAAAATCACCTTTTCCAACCATCCCCCTACCACCATTATTGCCCACTAAATCGTGTCCCCAAGCACCACGTCCAACTGTCCTTAAACACCCCCAGGGACGGTGACGCCACCACCTCCCTGGTTTCAATGCCTGACCGCCCTCTCTGAGGAGAAATTTCTCCACATTTCCAACCTGGGAAGTGAAACCTACTGGAAATGAACCTGTGAAAGTGAAACCCGCAGCTGCTTTTAGCTTGTCACAGGGCAGTGCAGCTTCTGTGACACACACAGAGATAGCGAGAAGGGAGCTGGACCCTGAAATTTGTCCTGTTCCCCTCCTGACCTGCTTTTACCCTGTGGCTAGTGAGGTCTGAAAGGTCCTGAGCAGGCCTCAGAGACTGGATAAGAAAAGCCCAATGTGGAATTAAATTCATCATATAAGAGGAAATCATAAAATCGTACAATGGCTCAGGTTGGAAGGGACCTTAAAGATCATCTAACTCCAACCCCTCTGCCATGGGCAGGGATGTCTCCCACTAGATCAGGACCTCATCTAACCGGGTCTTGAACACCTCAGGGATGGGGCATCCACAGCCTCTCTGGACAACCTTCTCCAGTGCCTCACCACCCTCTGAGTGAAGAATTTCCTCCTAACCTCTAATCTAAATCTCTCTCTTTTAATTTAAAACCATTGGGGCACCTGGGTTTAAACCCTGGGGCACAGGGCAGCTCCTGCTCTGCCAGCCTTTTTCCACCTTTCAGTGCTCCCAGATTCTTTCACTTTCTCCGTCGTGAACTCCTTTGCCCTGGTAGCTGTTTTGGAGGGCTGCCACTGTGACCGGCTTTCCACCTGGTTTAGATAACCTGAGCACTAAGGCTCCTTCTTACAGAAAATTAAGACTACAATAAGGCCCATCAATGTAAGGGTGTTTTTAACCCCAGGCTGGAGGGGTATGGCTTAGAAATCATGCCCTGTTTTACCTCAGGCTTGAATGCAATCACTGTGCAATGAGGAAGCAGGAACAGCCCTCCTACGCTTTTTCATAGCTCTCTTAAAGGAAATTATTTCACAAGTGACGGGTAGAAGGATCTGAGCAGGTTTCAGGAGAGAGGCCCATGGGGATGTGCTCACACTGGGTCAGGGAAGAAATGGGGAAGCTGTAGAAATGCTCTGTGGTGGGCTTTATGGCAAACTGCTCCGGACACTGATGTCTGAGTGCCAGCTGCCCCCTTCAATTAGCTGCGGTGCGGATATAACCTTAGACCTTGCTTCATTTCCTGCCTCATTCTCTTGCTCCAGTTTGACATCATATCTCAATTAGAGATGGTACGAAATGAAGGAGGAAAGCCAAGTTACACACAGTATTCCCAATAATGCAATTACACTGAGCTGATACCTATTCCAGAGACTTCCCTGGTTTATAAAAATCAAAACAAACCAGCAAGGTAGCAGGAGGGGTTATAACAGACAAGGAAAGCAGATGAACAATTTATGCTAGTAAGCAGATTTGGCTAGGTTTGAAATTAACACTGTACCTCTAAAAGGTATCTAAAAGTTCACTAAAGATGACACAAGCTTCCAGTCTTAGCTTCCAGTCTTGATTTGGTGCCCTTCTTCCTACTCCTGGTTCTGTGCTCACTTGCCTCCAAATCCCAGTGCCATTTAATGCAAATGCTCTCTGTGATCAAGACAGTTGTCCTAGGGAACATAAGCGGCTATCTACAAAATAAAACTTCTCCCAAATGTTGCCTTATATATGTAAATATCTGTGTATGTTGGCTCTGTTTCTGTGAGAGCATTCACTAGTATCTCTCTGAAGCATGAAAGGAAAAATATGTATTTGTTGTCATCCATATCCTCAATATTTCTTTTCCTGAAGAGATTACAAACTATTTTGCTGTATACAAGTAGTATTTCCTTCTTTTTCTTTCACTAGCAACTCATGAGGAAATCCAATCCAGCTTGCTCTCTGGTTTCTGGAAGGGCAAATCTGTTTGACTTCTCTTTGCTTTGGGCTCAGGGCAACATTTTCTGCAGGACGTAAATTACTGAGACAGTTGGGTCAAGTCTTGGCTGGAGCCTGTTCAAAGCTCTTCCGCTCCTCCTAATGCATTCCCGAGGGTATATCTGTGCTCACAATCCATTATGGTCCCTTCCTGCTTCATTACCAACCTCTGGTCCTTTGACTGCCTCCATTTAGACATGGTACGTTGGTGTGTGATGGATACCTGGAGCCTCCATTGCGGGACAAACTCATGGCATGCATGACAATTCACTCTATGAGCTCTGTTCCTTGGACAACGTGGCATGGACACGCTGTTCTTCCACATGATGGGAGGGTTTCTCCAAGTCTCCAGACGCACCGTCGCTCCAGGGACATGTGATTATGGAAACTGCTATGGACGTAGCCATGTGTTATGAAAGCACACAATTCCTCCACTGTGCCGGTCCCTCATTCATGCAGCAAGCTTTTCGGTGACATCAGCGTGTACGATATTTTTAGCATGTAAAATGGGTGCGTTTCCAAGCTGTATTGCAAACTCTATCTTTCTCATTTATCATATATGGCATTACTCTACTCATTAAAATCAATTAGGTCACTGCTATAAATCCCTAGCTTGACTATTTATTTTCTACTGCCCGTGTTTTGCTTTTCAGGGCAAATGTGGCTGGTTTAGTACCACGATGCCTGCGTATTTCTATCTCACATGTGATTAATAAATGCTGTATTTGCTGTCAGGCTGTAGCCAGGCCGTTAAGCTCTCCCCAAACCACTTGCAGAGTCTTGAGAGCTTGCTGCTGCTGAGCTTGGGTCTGGAAGCAATAGTATTACCAGTGTTTTTCCTATATCCAGGTTTCCGCAGACCTCTGGAACAACCCCACAGAGTTAACCACAAGCCTGCTTTGAAGTAATTCACTTCACAACATTCCATATTAAATCAAGACTGACAAGGGAAATCTAGAAGCTGCTCAAAACCTTGGAACATTCATAAGAGCCTTGTAAGTAATAGAAGTACAAGCTTAAAACATACAGAAGGTGTTTCATTCCAATTTCTTGATGATTAACTGATTGCTCAGCTTTATTTGCTGCAAGCCAACTGTCAGCTTGCAGAGAGATTATTGAAGGCAGCTCAGAAATACATCATTTCACTCAAACAACCCAGATGTCATCTGTTTGCCAAAGTGGTGAAGCTGATCAGAATGACTTCGGTTGTACTCAGTTTATACTCAGTATATATTCAGTTTATATTCAGCTGTTTTCAGGTTGTATTCAGTTATTTATGGCTATCCAGTTTCACTTTTCAATCTGATATTAATACAGAGGAAAACCACAGCTCAGCCATTGTATGCTTTCATTTGTACACAGGAGGCAAACCCGATACCTTATTGCTGACTGAGACTGCAAAAGAATTCATTTCAAGTAACGGAGGGCACAGATCACTCTTGGAAACCTTTTTCAAATAGGTGCGTGGTTCCTTTTGTTCTTCTTCAAAATACAATGGCAAAAAATGTTATCTGATAAAAGTGGTTTTATGCCATGGCTAAATAGGCCCACTTCTGGCAAAGGGAGTTCCATGTCCAGGCTCACTCCTTTCTTCATTTATTAAGGCAGCCATGAACTTTTAGGAGGGGATTAACCCATCTAGTTCCCCATTCTCTGCCCCCACGTTCACCTGGTTTGTTTAGAGGCATCCCCAGCTTGTCACATCCACAGGTCACCTCTGCATATGGGACATTTTGTTCTACACAGCCTTGGTAGCACCTTTGCTACGGTTTGCAAATGGCACGTCCCTAAAATTCTTGCACTGGGGACACGCCCCTGCCCTCCATAGAGTGAATTTAAGCCTACCTATACTAGGGCTTGCTTTTTGTACTTTCCTTTCAGAAACCCGTAGCCAGTGGGACACCATCTCCAGGTGGTCACAGATGGAGAAACACTCAGCCAGAGGGAATAGGAAAGAAGACAAGGTGGGTAGCACTCCTCCATGGGTGTCCAAATGCCACCTGCAAACACGAGGAAAGCTCATGGGTGAGGCAATGGCAGAAAATAGTCCCCAACATTTCTAGCAAACAGAACTCTTCAAAACATCCATGAAGGATCCAAGAAGCAGGTTAATTTGTTTTGCTTTTTTAAACCATCTCTTGAGTAGCTCTTGTGGCAATTCAGCCCCCATAATTCCTGTCTGCCCGGACAGCCCCATGTCATGCCCCAATAAAATGCTTAGGAAGGTGGTGACTCCATATGGGCGTTACTGGTTAGTAAGGCTAGTGTGGCTTTCAGAAACACGCTTGAAATAACTGTTTGAATGACAATTAACCTCTGGTCTTGATAAGGGAATAGGTAGGTGAGTTGTTCAGGTTGTCTAAAGGACACATGAGTCAATTCTCATCCCAGCAGTTTTAGTTTCTGTGAAACCGAGTTGTGCTAGAAAATAATTATTGCTTCTAAAACGCCTTATGTTTAGGAACAGCTAATTAGTGCCAAACTGGCTGGTAGGGGAGATATCCGAGGATAATTTTGTTGTTCAGGAAACAGTTTATGGCGTCATGTCATCAGAGCCCATAAGGAATCCATGGCTCAGGATGTCAGTAGGAAGACTGTGCTCTTTTGACAGCAGTGCAAACACAGACGCTGACTGCTTGTGACAGCTAAACAATTCAAAACACCTTGCAGGAAAATGATCGTGCAATTTATTGTTGATATTTCTGTAGACGGTTCTTATTTCCATCACTTTGTCAGTACGTGGCAAACCACATTAAATACAGAACGTGAACTCTCAGCATCAGTCTGCACAACCAATACCCAAACTCTTTCCAGGAAAGATGCAGTAAGAGCAGTAACACCTGCAGCCGCTCTGTCAAATTCCATGCCCTGAGCTTCAGATCCACGCAATTGTTTCTCTCCTGAAACTTCCCTGAAGGAAGGTCTGTACATCACAATCCTCACTTTTTGAGACATCTTAGCTGTATTCAAATTATAGATGAATAAACACAATGGAGGCCTTCAAATGCCAAACAGCTCTTGCTGAATGGTAGAAAAGCTCATAAAAACATCTATTTTTCTTCTATTTTTACGTGTATGGAAGATAAATGGTTGAGCGTATTGTATCTCTAAGTTTGAATTCATTAGTTTCTATCCAACCCAGGCAAGAAATCTCTGAAAGTTGTTACTAAATGATCAGACTTCTCTGTTGTCAGTTTGATCCCTGCAGGATTTGTCCATCTCAGACAAAATACCCATTCAGGTGTACTGGCTGCCTCAGCAGAGAGGTCAAGGACTGAAAGGGTGATGAAGTCTTCAATATCTACACATCTCTAAAGATAAATCCAGGGGGAGCCACATTAATGAAAATGCTGCTGCATATATCTTCCTGCTGAATAAAAGCACCATTTTCAGATGTTGTCAGTCTCTAGTCTGACACAGATATTAAATTCACATAATCTGTCTTTAAAAAGTGCACGGCGAGTAGATTTTGAACCGCGTTGTATCTTGCAATAAAATTTGATAATTTTTGGGGGGGAATTGAAAGGCAGGCAGGTAGTTACGAACGCGTCTTCACCTATTTCCCCCGCCTGAAATGTAAGTGCTGTTTAAAAACCTTTAGGGAAACTGAACATCTTCGTAGGAGCTGCAGCAACTTTTCGTGCATGTATTTTAGCTTACATCAGTGTTCTCGGCTACAAGGATTATAATTGAGTGGAGAGACTCTCCTTGGGAGCGGGGATTGAAGGCGTTGAGGCAGCAGCCCTGTGAGTTGACAGGGATGCTAATAGAGCCGCGGCGGAAGTTTAGAGAGCAGATCAGAGCAGCTGGGTGGGCTGATAGAGGGGATCAGGGCAGCCCAGAGGAGCAGTAAGAGGATCCAAATAAGTGGATTAGTAGCATACCAAAGCACACATTACTTTTAGTTTTCAAAGTCCCATTGATTCTAGCGCAAGTGCTTTTACTAATGTGTGGCAGGAGAAACGGAGGGGGATCAAGGCAGGATCAAGACACGGAGAGCAGCTCCCTGTGGCAAGCTGGAAACGGCAAGAAGGCTGGGCTGGGGGGGCACAGAATAATGTCCCCACGCCAGGACTCAAAGGAGGATGGTTGTTGTCTGGGCTCCTTCATCCCGCAGCCTCAAGGAGCTGTCTAATGTCGCTAAACGCTATTGTTCCTGCAGCTGATTCTGCATTCATTTGGTGTCTGTATCTCCAGTGATTGACTCTCCATGGCTGCGCTCCTGTCTCTGCCTTCAGCTGCTGTGGCTGGAGCAAACAGCCACAGAAATGCAGGCTGTGATTAGCGGCACAGCCTTCTTTGAACTCTTCCTAGCAGGGGACTCACCGGGCGGACAGACTCTGAGCTGAGCTGGCCACAATTTGTGCCTGGAGCATTCATCAGCGATGGGACCACTCAGCCTAGCCGTGCTTGGCTTCCCGTGATTAACGCTGATCCCTGAACTCCCCCAAGCTTCAACGTGCCCTTTCCTTGAGTGCCAGCCTGGGTTTACACTTCATCTCTTAGACAGAGGTGGTAGCGATGCAGAGACACATCCAGACTTTGCTAAGATTTCTAAAGACTATCACTCTTTATAGAGCACAAAAAAAATCTGAGTTTCAGGCAAAATAATGAGCCCTGCTCGCGTTGCCCTCAGTTACCTCGAAGCATCTTGGGTTTTGAGTCAGAAGCAGGGCAAGATTTGTGCAGCTTGTGATTTTTCCATGTTGTGGAGAAGCACAGAATAGGCATGGATGTGGGCTGATTTCACTTTAGCTTTCATGAAAGGGTTGTTGAAACCTTTTCCTCTTTATCCTCCAACCAAATCCGTTGCTTGGACACCTCGGTCTTCCCACTCCTCTCAGAGTTCAAGCTTGAAAAGTGGCTTATTCCAGGCAAGAGTTGCTATCTTAATATCCATTTATCCCACGAGAATTCAATCAGAATGGATAACCATCAACATTTGACTCTTCTACTGCCCTGCCTTGCAATTTCCATCCAAGGTACACATAAAATGACAGAAGGAAGGAAAAGTCCAGCATTATGGTCAAAATTGATTTTGTAGTCTGAAACAGAAGTGTACAGAGGGCTTGTAACAGACACACAAAGAACACTTTGTACATAGATTGAGTTATATTCTTTATTGTTGAACCAGTTCTGGAATGTTTTAGTTTCCCTGAGCTGGCAAACGGATAAAAACATCGTTGCGTCCCATAGCTTTTTCTTTAAAATTTATGTGAGGAAGATTAACAAACAGCAGAAGAGACAAGAAGTTATTTCAAAACAGCATCCCAAAGGGGAAAAAAAAAAAAAAAAGAGAGAGAGAGTAAGGATTGAGACATACTAAGATGTCAAGTGCTGCAACTGAAATGTTACAGGGAGAGCTTACAGGGGTTCAGAAAACATGTTAAACTGCACTTCCACGCTTCAGACTTGGACATCCAGAACCCTACCTCTGTGAAGACCCAGTCCTCAGATACACCAATGTGAAAGCCCCCCAGAAGCGAAGGTTTGTAGTAAGACAGAGCGACATCAGTGACGTACTGTCAAACTGGAAGATGAGAAAAAGTACTGCCTATGGTTTTTGTATGACCACAGAAACACCACTGGAAACCTGCAAGGGAAAAACGCTATCAAGAGTTTATAAAATCTTCAATGACATTCAATAAATATAACTAACTGAAATAGCTAACGTATTAACCCTGCCACCTATGCAACTCCTGATCTCTAATTTACCTCTTCACCTGTCTCCTGCTTTCTAATATTGCACTGAACTTCCTCAGGCTCCAAAAGGAGTCGTAATCATCGCAATATTAATACAACAGGAGCCTCTTCCTACCTCTCTTGGCCTTATGTGTGTTCCTTGATGATAGATTTAAAGCTTCAAATCAATCCATCCAGTTTTTACAACGCTTTTCAGTGTAATTTTCCCACCTGAAAAGCTAAAGGATCTCTTAGATGACCTGTGAAATTCTCCTAAGCTCTAGGATTCTTCATTCATTTTGCTCCTATTCAAGCCTACTTTGTGAATAATAATCAAAACCTGGTGATTAACTGGACACACCTGTTCTGGGGATGAGGCTGGAAACAAAGGAATGGTCTGCAACATCCTGGCATGAAGAGCATTGCTGCTATTCATACCGAAATATTGCGAGGGTAATTATATTTAATTGATTAGCTAGTGTTCTACACATGAAACAAAACCATCATTTTACAAACCAGAAAATTGTCTGAAAAACTATTATCGGTTAGAATGGGGAGGGGATATTCTGAAAGTTACTTACAGCAGGATAAAATGGTAGCTAGGAAATAGCCAGGAATGATCATATTGACTTGGAAAATGTTGCAAGATAAAGCCTTTATTTAGTTAGCCAATTTCATGGCATTTTGAAAAACACATTACTCAATTACTGATTTGATTGAGGAAATACTTTGTGACCATTCAGGAATATATGAAACAATGCTCTGAATTCTCCATGTTTTCACCAGAAAAAACAAACAAAAACTACAGTTTCTTAATATGTAATGATAATAATCCAATACTGAGACATTAACTGAAATAAAAGATGAAATTAAAAGCTGGCTGCCTGTTGGAGCCAGTGCACTTCATCATAAGTCACTTGGCTACCACAGAGATGCAGCCAACTGTTGGAGTGACACAAGGCAGCAAGGAATAAGGATGACTTTCATCCCTGGGTTTCTCCAGCTGGAATAATGTGATGGTGTCCCATGAAAAATGAGCAGGTGGCCTGAGTCCAGTTGTAGGATACCAGCCCCAAAACACCCCCCGAAAGAATCTTGCGACTTACTGCATACATGGACTACAGGAGCCTCTGAGTTCAAGTAGTTTTCTCTATGTGATGGCTGAGAAACATGAGCAGTACAGGACGGAAAGATTGTTTTGCAGTTATTGGATCCTCCTACACATTCTGTGGATAACTAGAAGACTTTGACTTAAAGTCACCTTGTCCTAGTTTCTAATTCACTTTTAAGCACATGAAATTGCAGGATCGGGGCCTAGGTACCCAAACTGGCTAATACTTTCATAAATGAAAAGCACAAGATTTACTCATCCAAGTAACCATAATGAGGTTTGTTTGCAGACCGAGCTCATGCTGCACACAGAAAAGGGTGAATCTCTTTTGTCAAACGTATGGGAAGCAAAATGAAGTAATACTAATGAAAAAAGGGATGTGCTAACCTGTAAAATATTACCTGAAACTTGTGTGCAGTGTTCAGACTAAAATGACGTTTTGAATTTTAAGTGTTCCTTTAAGGAAAAAAAAAAAAAATCTAACACAGAAGAACTAAAAGGAGGAAAAAACAGTTGATAAAACATGTTTTCATAAATTATATACCAGATGTTAAACAAAATTGAATAACCAAGGAAAAGAGAAAAGACCTTTTTATTTTTGTATCACATTCCTTTGGCAAAAGCAGGATAAAGCTTATCATGTGAGTTGAACAGTAAATGAAGGCCTTATGTTTCATAAAATTCTCCTGTTGTCCCAGTAAGGATGAGAGTCATACAACAGTTTCGGCAATGCTTTAAGTCTGGTAAATAAAGTTAGCAGACAGGAATCAGCAGATTGTTTGGGGAAAAAAAAATAATATAAAAAAAATAACTCTTTTTTTGTACACAAAACTTATGAACACTGCTTCTGCATCTCAAACCTGACTTCACTGCACTGTACCAGAGATTAATTGGCCCCATATAATTTAGCAAACAGCATATGACATCCATCTACCTTTGCTGTTTCAGCATTCACCCAAAAATATATAATACAGGATTTTAAATAGTATGTTAGCCCAGTTTCCTTTCACAAAGTCTTACAGAGAAGTTTAGGAAAATTCCAAAAGTAGCATATTGATTGCCTCTGGGATTTTCCACTTAGCAATTTAATAGAAAATTACACCCTTACCCAATCTGTGAGGTTTCCGTAACCTCCCTCATGAATTTAATTTTCCAGAGTCTAATAAATTTTACCATTAGGCATATTTTCTGATATTGCTTCACCATTAAACCTATTTTCTGATTTTGCTTTTCTGGAACTGGGTAAACTCTCTGCATGGCATTTGGACAGCACCTTCCACCAGAGAATTCAGATCTGTGTCTGCTCACACTGCTATGAAACAAATCATTGTTATTAATATTCACTTTGCTTTCCTTTTACTAATTTTATTTCATTACTCAAAGTGATAGGGTCAGTCAATATTACTGGAGCCAACGGAATTCTCCTGGGTACTCTGATTAGACCACGTGAAGATCTGCTTCTGTTCGAGTACGCGTATGCAACTCTCACATACTCTTCTCCTTGTCATAACACAGCCTGACTACATTTAAAACACAAGATGATGATCGGGAGCTGTGTTTTGGTTATCCGTAGTCATAACTGTAAAAGTCTGAGTCCTCCTCTACAGGCAATAAGCAGAGGCACTCCTGACAGTGCAAACTAAAAGCTACACCAGAACCTAATTTAGTGCAGCATAAGTGAACCACAAGTATGGCTGGAGGCGTCAACTGGCGGATAAATCAAAGCATTAAGTTCAGCTGCATTTGGATCATCCATATGGCTATGGTGACCCCCTTGGTTATCATCGGAGGGTTGCCAGACGCTGTGAGTCTTATTCCTTCCAAGGAACGAGGTTGTTTTACTGTGGGGCTCCATGTTTGCCCGTGGAGAGTGAAACTTGGCATCCCTCGGCAGGACAGCGGTTCAACGTGCTCTTCACGGTCCTGCTCTGTTCCTTGATGTGCTCTGTGATAGATGCTGGCACATCACAGCAAGAATCGCTGTAAAACACAACAAGGAGCAGTTAGATCCTCAGCCCAACCCTATTTCTGCCCTTCACCCACCCCACACGCCCCACTCGCACCGTGGCAGCTCCACCGCCGCCAAGCCCAACGTTGGCGCGCCGCTCCCCACCCTCCCTGACCCCAGCTTGGGGTCACCTCCAGCCTCTGCTGCACCCCAAAAACCACCCACAGCCCCTCAGGGGGGCTGGCAGGAGGGCTCCCTGCCAGGAGGGCCGCCGCTCCCTCACACCGAGCCACCCCACGGGGGGGAGCCGGGACCACCCCGAGAACCCCCTCAGCACCCCCGGGTGCTTTGAGGGAAGCCATCGGGGCTCCGAGGGCCGTGTAGCAGCGCCGGGGCACGGCAGAGGGAGCCAGCAAGAGGCTGGAAGGGAGGAGGGAGGGGAAGGCGGCAGGGGGGCCACAAAATGGCGCTGCCCTCTCAGCCCCTCTCCCTCCAGCCCCCCTCACGGCGCCCAGCCCGGCTCGCCGCGGGGGCTCCGGAGCTGCGGGGCCGCGTCCCCGGGGTGGCGTGGGGCTGCTGGCCGGCCTCAGGAGCCGGCTCCTCCGCCTCCAGCACCACCACGCCGGGGCTCGCCGCCTTCCCCCCAGCAGGTGGCAGCGGGGTCCCGGTGCCATCGAGCCATTGCGGGCCGCCCTTCGCAGCCGGCGGGGGAGGCGGCGGCGGCGCTGCCCGGCATCGCCCCGGGCTCGGCCGTCCTCCCCCCCCCCCCCCCCCCCATCCCCTTTTCCACCTTCTTCTCGCCGCACCCCGCTTTCCCCTCAAAGTTTGGGGCGGCCAGGGAAGGCGGGCGGCGCCTTTAGGGGGCCGGAGCCAACTTGTCCCGGCTGCCTTTATTTGCAGTGGGAGCCGAAATCTGCCAGGCTGCGTTTATTTTGCTGATTAAAGAGACGGACCTTGGTCTCGGCTGCTGGCTTCCCGCTGCGCGGCCGCCCTGCTCGCTCCTCTCATCCCCTTTTCTCCTTCCCTTTCTATCCTTCCCCTACCCCCCCTTGGCCGCACCATGGAGTTTACCGAGAGGAAGAGAAGCAGGAAATCCCAAAGCTTTAAACTGATAAATCAAGGTAAAAGTGGGGAGGGGTAGGGGAGAGGGGGGGGGGCGGCTTTGTGCTGTTTGTTTGTTTGCGCCTCAGAGAAGACTTTTACATAAACGGGGCTGGCTTCCCCGGGAGGCGAGCAGGATGTTATGAAATGTGTGTGTGCTCCCTTTCCTCCACCTCTGTCATGTCTCTCCCTCCTCGTATTTATTATTTAACTCCGGAATCGTCTCCTCCAACTCCCCGAGGCGTTGCAGCTCTTTATTTTCTGGCGTTATTTTGTTATCCCCCCCCCCCCTGTTTTTTTCCCCCCCTCTCTCACTTCTTGCACGCACAACCAGAGGCTATTTACGGGTATATTTTACACATTGCCTTAAAAATAAAAAGACACCTCCGAAGGTGGACCTGTTTGGTTTTTTTCCAGGCAGATCTCCTACAGAATAAAGTTGGATCGCGTTTCGGTGTAAATCCCCCCATGGGTGAGGGAGGGAGAAAAAGGTGAAATGGAGAATTTAGCAGAACGATGACACTTGAGCAGCGCCGGAGCTTTTTAGCATGCAACTCCTGTGGATTTGTTGTGTGTGGTGTTGTTTTTTTTTTTTTTCTTCTTCTCTTCCTCCTCTGGACTGCGTTACACACACGTATTCCAGAGAAAAGCCTCACAGAGGCTGCTTGCTTAAAATCCACGCAGGTAACGAATTGTACGTGGGCGAGGAGGAATCGCTGGCATGCAACTTGTTCGCTCGGCGTGTGTTTGCTTTTCGGAAAAGAGGGGATTTTAAAAGGGATCGCCGGGAAAATATTTGGATTCATGTCGGGGAAGGAGCACAGCTCTCAGTCCTGTGTGTTATTAAAAAAAATAAATAAAAAAATGACACAGCTGCTGGTAGGCATTTTAACAGGTGGACTTCCCAGCCCTAGGGTTTCATTTGGGCTGGGTATTGCTCCTTCAGCTGATTAGATCTCTTGCCCTGATTGATTTGCTGTATTATTATTTTTATATATTTTTTTTCCCCCTTTTGTGTCTGGAAGTCTCGGGCTGCAATATCTCCCTGAAATGCTGCGTGTGTCCTGCATGCCAAGTTGAGGGCAGGTGGCTGCTCTGGGGTAATGTCACACTTAGGGACAGGGGGGTGGAGGGCAACTTCCAGGGCTTGCTGGATGAAGGCTGGTATCTTCGTAGGCGTGCAGCAAAATCAGATTAGAAGCAGAGAAATGTGAAGCTGGAAATGAACTTGCCTGGTAGGAAGAGTAAATAATTATTGCTTAAACAGTGCAGGAGGGTCTGGAGCACTGCACCTACCCCTGTCCCCAAACTAGGGGGAGAGCAACTGGTCAGACTTGCTGAAATTTATCCGAGGTTTCTTAAATGCCAGCATCAGCTTGGAGATCAACCCATGGAGGCTTTCATTTCTCTAAAGGACAGGTTTGGTTTGTGGGGTTTCTTAGCATCTGATGCTCGGAGTCGCCTCTCAGGCAGCTCGTGCAGGGCTGGAGCGTGGGGCTTGAAAGTGAAACATGTGGACAAGCAAAACTGAAATCAAAGCCTGGGTTTTATTTTTCTCCTAATAGAGTCGTAAAAATGTGTGCGCTGTCAAAAACGTGTCAATATTCTGCAAATTGTCGGTCGCCACTCCATAACTGGATTAAATATTTCCCCATATATAAGGCGATCTATTTAACCTCATTGGATAAAATCATTTATGGGGGTTAATTATTAGCATTTCTTATTTTATCTGCTGTCTCCTTTTGGATATAGGAATTCAAATAGCAAGCTACACTGAAAGTACATCCTGGGAGAAAATATGTCTTTGCACTTTGAGAGCAGAGAAGATAAAAATCACATTCTGCATGTGAGTCTGCTCTCACGTACCCTCTTTCTATCACAGTTGATTATGAAGATAATTATGTATAAATAGTTGTCTCTTGTAATTGGCCTTTGCCTCTTGCTGGAGTCATTCAGTAATGTCACAGTTTAGTGTTTACTGTTGTGAAATTGATATGGATTTCACAGCGCCTGGACTGTGACATCTGAGGCAGAAGAAGGAAACCAAAGAGAAAATGGTACGCTGGGTCGATCTGTTTGTAATGCACAGCCTGTCAGTGACATGTACGATGCTTATTCCGCCCCAAAAAAAACTTCAGAGCACCTTAGCAGCACGATCAGTTCCTTTCAGACTGAAAGGAAGGTCCCTGCCTGCACTAAAATGCAGCCACCTCTGATGTGCAACGTGGTGACTTCCAGGCAGCAGCTGTAGATCAGGAGAGCGTCGTGCCCGGCTGGATGAGCACAGGGAAGTGCTAGAGAAGCAACTCCATACAATCTATATACCTAAGGACTGCGAATCTGTGAGTTATTTAGTTCCGAGTTTCCACGTGCTCGCTCCTAGCAGCTCTCCTGGAGGATGAAAATGTGGAGAACAGCTAATGGGCACGGAGAGCAGCTCGCATAAATTCTGTATTTTTAGCCTCGCGGAAGGGACCTTTACTTCCTCGATGCTGTGGCTCAGACTTCACCTTTACCCAGTACACGTCAGGCAGCCCATATGTTTCACTCCCTCGGTGTGACACGCAAAACCCCAATGCTACCTCTTTGCTTAGCACTTCGCTCCTGACCTCGCTACCTTCCTTTTTATTTTTTTTTCTTCCCTACCATGCTGACATTTCTTTCCAGGCCCTTTTCTTTCTTTTGTAGGTCCGTATTAAGCTTGATTCTGGTTTACTTACTGGGTAGTTCCTCCTGTTGTGCCGTTAAGACAGTCATGCTGTACAAATAAACAATAGTAACAAAGAAGCTTGGCTTATAGGAGAACTTTATAATTCCGTAGCTGATTGTTTTGTCAGCAAGGCAGGTGTGTTCCTCTTGAGAGGAGGAGTTGCCTGTGGTGCCATTCAGGTCCTCTTGTGCCTTTTAATTGAATCCCTCCGAGTGCTCTTCCAGGAGTTAATCTCCACCTGACTTCTTGCGAGGCAGGTAAACATAAGAACCAGTTTTCAGAGGGAGTAACTGAGCTGGCTGGGAGGGCTTCAGCGTTACAGGAGTTAGGTGATGAGGCAGCTATTTCAAGACACTGAATATATTGTTCAGTCTTGAGTGACTTGCCTAAGGACAAAGTGTGTGCCAGTAGCAGAGTCAGAAATAGAATCCAGGAGAGCTGCCCTTAGATAGTTGGTTTTTTGTTGTTGTTGTTGTTTTCCCTCTTGTAATTACTATTCCCTCTGTACACATGTGTAAACAGGACTGTTTTTCTGCTGAACGCATGCCTGTGATTACAGCAGAGACCTCCACAGAAAATACCCTTTCGTTTGAAACAGAAATTCAATTTTCCGTGCGTGTCCTGTCAGATCTGTGAATAAAAGATGCCAGTGTTTATTTTTAGGGTCATCTCGCATGGATGTTAGTTTCTGTAAGTGAATACCCTAAGGTGTCCCTGAGCCTCCTTTCCTCGGAACTCAGGGGCCAGTGACCTCAAGATAAGTCAGCAGAGCTGCAAGGTGCAGCCCTATTGTACGTCACTGGTCTTCTTGTCGAGGCAAAGTTTGAAAGTTCCTCCCGGTCTCTGGGAAGGTGAAGTTTTCATTATAAATCTGCTTTCCATCTGTAAAGCAAGAAGCCAGATAATTGGCATCTGGTGGGATAATTTGCTGTGAAAATGAACACAGTAATTTAGGGCAGGCATGGCTATTCCCTAAAATCTGTGAAATATTTTAGCTAAGCCTCTCCAGTGTGAGCAAAGTTGGTTTTGTGTGTTTTTTTCCCTTTTTTTTCCTTTTTAGGAGGTGCTGATACAGAGCACATTTTCTGTGGTTAATTCGATGTACATGAAATAAACTGCAGATATATTGATAAATTATGTAGTAAAACTGTAGCAATGTGTTCGGTGTTCATTTTTTCCAGATCACTTGAGTTCTAATTTTTTTTATCGTTTTTCATTCCAGATTACCATCATGAGATATATAAGATCTCTGACTACAGCAATGATGTTAATGGGGAGACCAAAGAAACACAACCCGTTTTTTTAGGTATGTGCTTGTGTTGATTAATTTCAGAGCAACATAGCGTGGCCATTTGCAATTAGGGAGGAAAAAAATCTCTCTGCAAGCATGGGAAGTGCCTGCCATTGTTTAATATGACGTTCTTTTCAAGACCCTTTTATTCCACGAATTGCCAATATATCCTTTATTAACACTGCTAAAAGTTGTAATTTCAGACATAAATGTTTATTAGTGTCTACACACAGTGCTAATTATCACTCACTCAGAGAGCCAGATGCTGACTCTGCAGTTTTGCAGCTCTCTGCTCACCCCATTTACATTGCATATTCTCTGGCATGCTTCGCTGGCAATAGTTTGTGTAATTGGGGTATTACATCTTTGACATCTGGATAACAGAAATTCAATTTCCAGGAAGCTGCTATTTGTTTGGTTTTGCTTCTGCCTTGGGTGGGATAGAGGATTAATGTGCTGTCTTAATGTAATGTCCTTTCACCTCTGTAGCCTGCCTGCTAATCCTGCCATGGGAAAAATTAAATTAAATTAAATCAACAGTTAAAAATGTGTAAAGAAAACAGAGAAGTAATGTATAGTCTGCAGCGTGGTGTATACCATAGCCTGATAGGACTAGTTATCGGTCAACCTTTATCCTTCTTGCCTGTGTGCTTGGTGTCCTTTGTAACTCTTCTGTAGAATGCTTCTCCTCCTGCTCCCAGCCCCCTTCTGTCTCATCCAGGACCTCTTCTGGGTGCTGAAACCTTTTGCAAAAAAGGACAGTGGGCTAAAATCACAAGAATTAAGGCGAGGTTTTGACATACAGTAATGACTCTTAGTGTGTAAAGTAAGCTCTTGGTCGCCTTGCTCAGGCTTTGGAGAAAGCAGGTGCCTTCACAGCAGGAAATCTGGAGGTGTCTGCCTTTCCCCAGCTGTGCCGGGAGCCTCAGTGTTTGCGTGGAGGTGATTTGAGGTTTCTGGAGTCTGTGTGTGTTGCCCCCTAGAGCCGGTGAGAAGCACTAGTCCTGAGCACAAGAAGCAGCACCTGAAATCAAGCTGCAGGTAAAATGCTTTCGTCTGCTAAATTGATTGTGCCATAGCCTTCCCTAGAGGTCAACAGCAAGTGGAAGAGGAAAGGGGGCGTCTTGGGCAGCGTGGAGTCTTCTGCTGATTAGAATATTTACACAGGAGGGAGAGCTGGGTTAAATTCCCTTCTCAGCTTCTCACTGTTAGGGTTGTGAGCAAATACTTCATCTCTTCACCTATTTCCAGGGAGCGTGAAGGAGGCTGCTAAGCTTTGTGTTTGGATTCTGCGTTGTGTAAGCACTTTTGGGGTTGAACCGCCCTAGAGATTTACCATGAATGTTTTCTCTTCAACCCCAAATCAGAATAAGGCTTTGTCAGGAGTTAGGTGTCTAGCTGCCTAAGCCAGGGTGCTTCCAGGACTGTGCAGGAGTTTGTGCTTTGACATTTGTGCCGTGACTCAGACCAATTGATTTTTGGTCTGGTTGCGTTGCCTTTTGAGGGCTGCTTTGTCTTTTGAGGGCAGGCTTGTTACCTGCTTTTTGTTTGGTTTTGTTGCTTTTGGTTTGCTTGGTTGATTTCTTTATTATGACCAGCTTCTGAATGTGCTCTGGCATCAAGTTCACCTACAGCAGGAGCATGTCTGCATTTAGTCCTTACCAACAAGTCCCACCAAGGGACTTTCTTCAAGGTGTTGAAGTCCAGAATTGCAGTCCTGGGAGTCCCACCTTCAGTTGCTGTGAAAAGAAGGAAGACCCTATTTTCTAGAGACTGGCCTGATTTCCTCAAAGCACTGTTAATTTTGACAAAACCCATGATTTATGACTGTGCAGGATCTGCAGATGAGGAATTCTTCTTCCTGTGGGAGCTGGGTTCAGGTGGGTTGCTCAGAGCTCACATCACCCACTCTGCTTTGTCCTCACGCCAGGTGTCCAGCTTCTTAATGACAAAGGAGGTGGTCTGAGATGTAGGAGAAGCAGTGCTGGGAACTGAACTTGGCTGAAAGCACTTGAAAATTGAGCTCCCTACCTTCCAGCAGAGAGATGGGATGAGCGGCATTTGGCATTCCAGCTTCCCTTTTGAGAATTGCACGCTGCACGCCATAATTTTTCATTGTACTTCAGGGAGGATGGGAGAACGATGCTTCCCCCAGCTCGTTGTCCTGGCCCCTAATAAGGTTGTAATCCCTGCTTCGCTTAATTTCAATGTTCTGTGCCAAAATTAGATAATCACTCCATCGAGTGCTCGGGTCCTTGGTTTAGAGTCAAGTTTGTTCTTTGATTTAGGTCTTTTGACTGATCCGTGGGATGACTACAGCTGTTAAAACCTCAACGTGCTGCAGCCTTTAGTATGTAAATGGATGTTAAGATATGTCAGCGAAACTATTTACTGCAGGAAAGGGGAAATGTTAATGTCATCTTACAAGTGAAGCAGTGAAGCTTGGGAATAAGATGTGCGGATGTTTTGGTCAAGGGATGCCGTGGACAGAGAAGGGAGATTCTGGGCTAAATGATTAAGCATTTAATGCGTTGTTGAGATCAAGTGTCAGAAAGGACCTGTTGAACCTGGATTTTTATTTATTTTTATTTCTTGCACCAGCACAAAATGGGCAAAAACCTGGCTTTGTGTAAACCTGGGCTGCGAACTGGAGGAAGCTTCAGCACAAGTGTGGTAGTGGAAGCGACTTCTGTTGGGTGCTTTTTACATGGAGCCTCGTTAGCTTAGGAAGTTTGCACGTGTGTTGCAGCAGCTGAGTTCGTGGGAGATCACCCCGATGTCTTTTCTAATCCTTTCCTCTGATAAGATGATAAATAGGCAATTTGCAGCTTCCCAGACAAAGGATGCACCAAGCGCAGCCTTTGCAAAATTCCGGGCGAACCTCTTGCTGCTGCTGCCTTTCGCAGGTGAGGGCTGGCTCCTGTTTTGTTTTGAAGGGAAGGGCTGGGATATCTAATATCAGGAGAGTGCTCCCTCTGAAAAGCAGGACGCAGCCCGGAGTGAAGTGCTTAAACCTTGAATGTGATCGAGATTTAAGACAGCCCTGTCTGCAGCTTTTAGCAGGTATCAGCATTAATGTGCTGTCAAGGCTGCTAGCCCAGGCTTGGGAACACAAGCCCATGCAGGGACCGTGCAACACAAGGTTTGTGGACAACACCGGTTAAAGCCAGCTTGTCTGTAAAAATATCTTTTGTATATACCACTTTTTTTTCCCCCCAGTCATAATATTTTATTATCAACACACACAAAAAAAAAAAGCAGGAAAAAAAATATACCTCCAGACCGAGTGTTTTTACAATGCTTTCAACTTGAAATTCAGGCTCTATGTTTGAAAGGTTAATGCAGAAAACTAATTATATTATCCTGGTAACCAAATGTGTGATGAGACATTTGTCTGTGTAATTAACAGTGAAGAACTTTTATAGTTTCATAAAATCGAATGCTGCGCGCAGTGTGCTCGGAGCATTTGTTTTGGAGAGATGTCCAAACCAGAGATGTTTATGACTGATATAAAGGGGAGCTGAAATGCACTGTAATGCAGGTGTCTGTGCATTTTACAGCGTTTCACGTTGTTGAAATGGAAGGCAGCAGATTAATAACGTTAGCGTGTCATGATAAAATAAATAATGGGTTCTTGGAGCAGGGGAATGATGCATAAGTTACTCACTAATTCCAAGAATTTATTCTGTCCCAGAAATAATACCCTTTGCAATTTATTCGGAGAGGAGAAAGTTGACTTAACGCAAGTCTGTGAAGTTACTTGGTACTTTTAATAGAATTACATCCCAAGTATGGATGTTGCAGTAACAGCTGCTATTATTAAGGCTGCAAAAAAGATCATTTGAGAACGCAGATATGTAAAATAACTTAGCCAAGCATTTCCCTTTTGGGGCTGAAGCATGATCTTGACATGGGGTATTTCCAAGAAGACATTGTTGCACTTTTTTTTTTTTTTTAATTCTATGACCCTGTGAGTATGTAAATGTAGAAACAGTTGCTCACTTGCAGTTTCCTGAGTGATTTAGTTGACACAGTGTGGCCTGAAGTCTGCAACTTCAGTGTCTGATCCTACTGGGTGTTTCTGAAACTGTTTTACCAGGCTCTTTGGAAGAGTTATTTTGTTGTTGTGGCAGCATTGGGCCACCTCATCTGATTTTCCTTCCAAGGAAGCAGCCCTCCAGATTCACAGTGGTGTCCAGGTCTGCCCCTGGCTTTGATTCTGCAGGTTGCTGTGCTCATATAGGAGTGTTGGTGATGTCTGTTAACTTTCTGGGTCTTGCTTTCAAGCATCATTTCAGAGCGCTGGTAAGATGCCTCACCTAAGACGGCTCCAATATCCCGATAGATTTGCTAGGGGTAGTAAAAGTCCCAGGCTCATAACTTATGGTGCTCGTGTGACCCGCTGACATCGTTCGTGACCGCCGCGCTCCCCGTTGACTTGGGTTTGAAGCTTTTAATTTGCAAAGCGTGTTGTTGCCTGTGTTACTTGTTCAGCATCGGTTCGCACATGCCAGCGAAGGCTGGGGATCACTCCTTTGAGAAATGAGTGCTTATCCCATCGGTTTAGCTCCACAGTTGCTCAATTCAGCTTATCCACGGAGCAGTCACAACAACTTTCCATTCGCTTTAGGAAGCCTTTGATCTGATAAGGAAAGAGGCACACGGCTCCTTTATTTTCCTCGCGCTGGGCTTAGCAATTTTCAATTTCAGGAGCCCCGAATAGTACAATAATGCCAAAAATAGCAAAGTTTTGAAAGTTAGGGCACAATGGAGGTGTAGTTTTTGCTGAGAAGGGTTGCCTAACTCCCTCCTAGGTTACCTGTTGTTCTTTCCTTGAGCACCACGTAATGTTCACAGTGGTGTTTTGGTCAGTTCAGCCTGACTGCGCACTGAAGGTGCGCGTGGTGCATGCGTGCACCTCCCCAGTTCCCTGCAGTACACCGAATTAGCCCTTACAAGTTCTTCAAACACAAGCAGCTGACTTTTGCTGGCCCCGTTCCAGGAGGAGCACTGTTCAAGTGGTGGCTAATAAACTGGCATTTAATAACTTTGATTATATAACCTGCGTGCTCTGTCGCAATTTCTTCTGAGCCCTCGAAGCTTGCAAGCCATGCATCGACTTCAGCATTTTTCTCTCCTCTGCAGTTTCGTTTCCTTGCAAACTGGACCAATGTCACCTCATGTGTATTTTCCTTGGTATCTGTTGCTGCATTTCCTAGGCTCTTGATAACTTCTGAACTCATTCACCAATTCCAGCCTAGTTTGACACAAAGGCAGAAATCAGAGATACAAAGGTCTTGCAGGAGGCAGCCTGATAGAGGTAAAAGTCTTGTTTATATAGCCAAGCAGGGAAAATTTCCTTAGGAGTTTTATCTGCCAAAGCACAGCAGGAAGAGACACTAATTCATAGAAAACCTGACTTTATTAAGTCAGCTACGAATACTTCCCAAAACATTTCCCATAAATGCTAAAAATAATGAAATTAATTGCAAAATATCAGGCCAAGAGAACATTACAGTTACTCGTTTACATAAGTCAAAAGGGGAAAAGAAAAACATTATACAGTCCATTATCCAACCTTAACTCATTCATATATACACTTCAAGAGATATGCATTAATTACATTGCAGTATAAAAGAAGTGGCAACCAAATATGTAATTAATGTTTTAACGAATGGGTATGGCTGCGTGTCGCTTTATCGCTCGTTGTAGCGCTGTGATAGTATTTGACAAATTATTTGGAAAAGTCTAATAACCTGTTTGTAGGCAGCGAGCCATATTTGTATTGAGTTCAATAAGCATAACAGGGAAAAAATGCTCAAGCATCCAGAGGCAGAGAATTAATGAATTATCAGTGATATTTCATTAACTAAAATGGTTAGCGGTTGTGTTACTTCAGCCGGTGGCACGCTGAGCATGTGGATGCCAGTTCCTAACTGGACGTTTATGTTTTAGACCTGTACATTTGATATTTTTAATATTCTTACACCTTTCAAAGCAGTATGTAAGTGTGAGTATCTTAACACTGTGCATACTTGCAGTAGGGAAGGAGAATGAGGGTAATTTGGGGGGAAATCACTTTTTATGAATATTTGATGTAGAATCTATGAGAAGGTTTTGTTTTGTCCTTTGTTGTTCTATAAGATTGCAGTCAAGCCATGTGGAAAAATAAATTATATATAAGAGGCGATCATAGAAATGACTATAACAGTTATTAAAAGCATTGCTAATATGTTTCTGCTACCACTCTTATTTTCCCATGCAAGCTCCTAAACAGGGCTGTCATTTGCCATGCCTATCTGTTTTGAACAGTAATTTGCAAGTGAATTCAGTGGTTTCAGATAAACCCAAGGGGATTACACAGGCAATCTGAGAGGCAAAACCTGGCTGCCTCCTCGGGTACGTACCCACACGGCTTGCAGGGGAAGGCTGCACCGCAGCAGTGGTGCTTCAGAAGCCCAGAAGAGGGGAAGAGAGGCTGGATCCTGGCAGATGGGCTGGGATGTGTGTTGCAAACACTGCTCCTCCCAGTCCTCAGCAGCTATGGAGCCTCTCAGGAGGCTTATCACAGGACAGGTAACACAGCAGCAAGCTTCTTTTTTTCTTAATTATCCCATTCAGCATTTGGAAAGGAAGGCTTGGCTCTTCCATGGGACGTAGTAAGCTTGAGCTGTTTGGTTTTTCCCTTTTTTTTTTTTTTCATTTTATTTTTTAAATTACATAATTATGATCTGTGAAGATCATCAGCAGTGGAATAGCTGATAGCAGAACGCTATCACTGGGCTATAGAGCTAACAGCCAGATGAGATAACTGGGGAGCAAAAACTTAAATCTTTTCCTGCAGCAGCCCACACATTCAGGCAGGCAGTGTAACATCCACTAGGGCTGGGAAGACTGTGGCTGGGCAGTCACAAATTAAAAGCCATAAAAAGATGGAAACGTCATGACTGGGTTGGGTGGGTGGATGAGTTGTTGTAAACTTGCACGCTGTAGGCTTGACCTAATCTTCAGGGTGTGTTTTCAAGGACCTTCCTTCCAAAGACAACATATTTTTGGAAAAAGCTCATGTTATTAAAACATATCATGAAAAAAGTTCATAAATGGGAAATCTCCCTAGTTTAATTAGGGATCTGGGTAAATGCAAAGCTACACTTAGGCAGGAGTTGCTGAAATTTCAGGATGTGCTGTGATATAAATGTAGGGATTTTTCTCTTTGGAGATAAGCATGCTCACATCACTATATAGGAAGACCTCTATAAAAAGGAACATGCAACCAGAATCAGGGCTGAATAAGCTCAATTAACATAAATATTTGATGTAATTGGGTAAGGGAAATTTAATCTTTCCAACAACGTGTCACCTGACCAGCAGCGGAGCAAGCAGTCAGTAAGCCCGATAGGAGGAGGTGGGTGGGAAGCTTTTTTGATGTTTAGGTACATATTGCTATTAAACACTGACACGAGTGGGTAACATAAAGCCCCAAGAGCACTACGTGGTGCTGGGTGGTGTGATGGGAAGGGATCCTTCGGTGCTGTCGTGCCGTGGAAGCGTTGGGAGCTGAGATGTGGGCACGAAAGGCAGCCTTCAGCACCCGGATCCGAGCGCCTCAATAACCGCAGTCCCGCGGTACTTGGGGGCCTCCCGGTTCCCAGCGAGGTTGGGAACTGCAAACAGTCAGCCCCTGGCTGGCTCAGGTCCAAGGAGCATAATTTGTTAATTAAATCACCCGCGCATAAATCTGTAGACAAAACATCAAGATGAAATGTAACGTTGAGCTTCCTCGCAGGTGGCTTGCCTCGACGCTTCAGGCTGGAGCGGAGATGCCGTTCGGCACTGGGGCTGCCGGGTGGTTTTGTAGCTGGGACTGGAAGCTTTCTTGCAAAAAAAAAATATTTTCCTGGTTGGAGTGGGCTGGAGATGCTCTGGGGTTCAGCCCAGGCTCGGTCTGATCGCTCAGCTCAGCTCTGCTCTGCTCCCTGGCCACGGCCTGAGTGTCCCTGGGTGCGCTGGGCTTGCTGGCGTCCCAGCACGTGAAGCTTGGCTCGTGCAGGGTGCTGGGGAGGGAGGTGCCACTTCTTTAACTCCCTGGTTTCAGCACCTAAAAATGGTGCTGTTGAACTGATAAAAACAGTTCACGTGCCTGGCATTAGCACACTTCTGAATACCTTGTTGAACCAGAGCCAGTGCACACTAGGTTTGGGTTTTGGAGAAGTTTTTTTTTTGTTTGTATTTGCTGAAATCTCTTCTCTGTTCCTGCTTTTCCAAAATAAGTTTGCTTTGGGAAGCAGGAATGTAAATTGAATTCAGCATCCCAATTATTACTGTATGAAGTGTACTATAAAGGGTCAGTTCATCAGTTTCTTGATCTTTGTTATTCCATTTGCTTAGGGTGTTTGATTTTTCTATTACCAGCAAAAAAAAAATAAAAAATAGAAGCTTCTTATTTCAGAAGTGGTTATGAACACGTCCTTATTACCAGCGAAATGTAATGTATGCTTTAACGAGCAAAATAGCTGCTATCTGCCCCAAACATATATATTCAGTGTGCAATCAGCAGTTTCCTACATAAAATTAATACTTAAACGGTGCCAGGAGTATTAAAGTATGTAATTGTTATTATTTAAATGCCCTGGATTTATTTGAAGCAGTCCCATTTTTCTTGTGTGTATTTTCATTTTGTTTTCCTAATCTACGCTCTAGGACACCCAGCAGTTAGGCTGTGTATGGTTAGACACATATTAGCTGCTTTTTTAATTTATTCCCCGATAATCCAGCATTATTAAATTCTGTGGAGTGAGGAACTGATCCTGTTTATTAAAATCAATAGATGCAGTGTTACTCTGTGTTAGGGTGTGGTGTTTTTTGTGTTGATTTTTTTATTTCCTTTGTAAAATCTGTCCTTAAGCAGTACAGCAAACTGCTCGACAAAGGTCTGCTTCCTTAGGCTATCCTCAGAAAATATCCGCTGATGTCAATGCCTGAATGGGATCAGTCTCTTAAAAGGATAGATTATTTGCAACTGCTCCAGCTATTATTATTTCCTTCTGGAGAGAAATAATCTTGCTCATCAAAGCCTTGGAAAGGGCATCAGGAAAGCCAAGTTCAGCAGGTCTTTTAACCATATGAGACCTCAGCTTCAGCTGCTGTTAAAGCAGAGCCTGGTGTGTACCAACTACCGCTCAGCCGTGTCTTTTCTTTCTCTCTTTTATTTATTTATTTGTGTCCTCCAACAGCTAGGAACTCGTATTGGCATCTAAAATCACTAATCTCAACCCATTACCGTTTTTGCTAATTTACAGTGATAACTGTGGCTCTGTTTTCATTAGGAGATGAAAGCCGGGAAATTAAAAAACAAATTACAGGGATGAGAAGATTACTGAATGACAGCACTGGAAGAATCTATCAGCGAGTTGGCAAAGAAGGAGAAAAACTGAAGGAGGAGCCCCAGGATTTAGACTTAGCCTGGGCCCAGCGCCTGAATCCCCCTGCAGAGTCCCAAGCGAGCCTTCATCCTTCCCAGAGTGGTGCGTGGAACGAATTATCACCCCAAGCCAGCCATTTTTCAGGGCAATACGGAACCCGATCCAAAACGTTCCAAAATCAAACGCGAGCCGTGACATCCAATGGTATGATCTACATTAGATACTGAAAATAGTGCTTTTTTCTCTCTTTTTTTTTTCCTTGTACTGTACTGAATATCTGCCTTTGTTCTGATGATTTATTGTACCACGGCGCTGAAATCAGTTATAGTTCAGAGTCTACAAAATGAGCACATAGTTATCACTTTGAAAAGGTGCGAAAGTGGGCACAGTGCATTCTGCTACCATCTGTCTTAGCTTTTAAAATGGATTCCTGGTGATAGGACGAGAATTACTCAATTCTGTTATATAGGCTTAAATCCTTTACGGTACTTATTAAAACAGCTTTTGCCATTGTTGTTAAATTCATAGCTAATTAAATGTCAACTGGTACCACTCCTCTCTGCAGTGAGTAATGGAGTTCAGTTGTGACACCACTTGTGGAGCAGGATTCTGCTGACTTTCATAAAGTGATGGGATCAGACTTATAACTGGCCACTGAACTTCAGGTGCAAAACTCCACTGGAGCCCTAGGGTTTTATTCTGATTAGGCCCACTGGAGAAGAGAGAGGATGGAGTCTACCTGTGAATAGCACGTCCTTAGGCTGTGGTCTATCCTGATCTGACAGAAAAGTGGATGAGTTGTGCCTCTGAAATGCATTTCTCTTAGTTTTCACTCCCAGAGAAAGAAGATTTTACTACCAAATTCTTGAAGGACTTCCTTAAGAAAAGGAAAGGAAATTAAGGCTTTTCTCTTCATATTAAGCCCTACGCTTAGGAAAGTTTTCATATTGAGGTGCGAACATCTAGAAAATAAAAAAAAATGGTCAGATTGAATCTGAAAACGCTATCAATTTTCAATTTCCAGTTGGTTCTGAAGGTATTCATGCTTCCCCTAGAGGGGCATCTGTTGTGAGTCCTTATCTGAAGGCACACGTTCTCGTTGCTTGTAACATACCAAAAAAAAAAAAAAAGTATTGTTATTATTCTCAGTAGTGTCCTTTAGGAATTAATATCCCCACGCTAAAAGGCATGCAGTCTCAGAATTCACAGGACTGACTGTGTCTCTGTACAGATAATGCTTCACATAGATGTGCTGGGTGACGTGGAGAAAGATGTTGCAGTAAGCCATGCTAGGTTGGTTTGCTTTATAATATTTATTAAACAGTGGTGTTTTCTTTTTAAGATGCCTACTAACTTGGAAGCAGATCCAGGGGAGAGGGGAAAGCAGATGCTTGATTGGATTTTGCATTCAAGTCTAAAACTATGTTCTCAAAATCCCACCGTAGCAGCCCTCTAAGTGTGGCAGGACCTGAATTTCATTACGCATCTCCCTCCTTGGCCTGAGAGTCCCTGGGCACCTGCAGGGACAGTTCTCAGCACGCACGGGAGTGCCTGAGCCTGCACAGCTTAGGTGCCTAGTTCCCGGATCCAGCAAGTAGGTGGAGCAGCACCCATATCCCCTTAGGGGTCTGATTCAGCAGGTGAGCTAAACCACGTCGACAGGATTTGGCCCCATCTGCAAGAAAATGTTAGCTTTTTAGCTTTCCACAGGAGGAAAGATATCATAAATCAGAGAAAAAAATATGATGTACAGGTTAGCAGGGTCTCTGAGACAGCCAGCTCGGCAGGATGGGTGCCCAAATCTCCCATCTCTCAGGGCAGTGCACCAAGGGAGCCTGGGTGGAGGCACCTTCCACCCCTCCCTTTGCAGCTGCTCTGCTGCAGAAAGGAATGCAATCTCTAGGCTATTACATAAAGCTGGGTGTGGGCCCTTTCCCCTGGTCACCTTTGCAAAGCAACCTGCCCAGGTCTTTGAGGGCAAGGTGAGGGGTGTCTGCCCGCAGCAGGGTGTTTGGGATCCTGCTGGGCAGTCCCACTGCTGGGGTTCTGGTGCCCAATGTCTGCAAAAAGAAAGCTGCTGATGCATTTCTTGCTACAGGCATGTTCTGAAGCTTCTCAGCTAGCACACAGCTCTTTTTGGGGAGCTATCCTAATGTCCCTAATTCCCCCCATCCATTGCATTGGGAACCCAAGTAGCTAGTTCAGTGTTTTACACATTATTTGAAGGATGGACCAAGTCCTTTTAATGCTGGTTAACATCCAGGGAGAAGCTACTTCTTGGGATTTACTTAACCACAGTGTTTAAAGTCATGAACAAAACTGCTCAGACAGAAAATAAGACTCTTATTTAGGGCTGTTAGGATTAGGTCATGACTGGGGAGATGTCCAGGCACATATAGCTGGTGCTTTGAGTCCAGAAACTGTTTCTGTCCACTGGATAGATAAAACCATACAATCATTTAGGTTGGAGAGACCTCTAATATCATCAGGTTCAACCATTAGGTACTGTATGGGAAGCCAGGGTCTGGCAGATGCACATTGCAGGCTGCCTGAGTTACTCCTGTTTGAAAGTAATGGACATCTGAATCCCTCGAACTAGTATGGTTAGCAACTTGCAAGCTAAAGGTTGTTCAAAGGAAGGCTGGAATAAATGTTTAATAGATACTGGTATGTAGAAGGCAGGTGTGAAAAAAAGGTATTGGCAAAGACAGAGAAAAGGGGTAATGGGGAGAGACGAGAAATTGCTGCAGGAGAGGGAAAAAGAGGAGCATATGTGAAAAGCAAAGTGATTTCTTCCAAGCTGGACTTAAGGTGGCAGCTCTACAAGTCAGGGTGTCAGGTAGACACCTGTGACCCACTGATTTTAGTGGATTTTTTATTTTAGTGGCCCCCTCTTGGGGCCATAAGCAGTGATAAGCATGCCTATCCACCTAGAATCAACAAACTCGGTGTCTGGCTAAAATATTTCAGTTTCATTCCTTGAGTTGTGAAGGAAATCCAGTAGTGATGCAGCAGCTGGATTTCTTTTTTGTTTGTTTACACCAAGACTATTTGCAGTGGATTTCAGTTGCATGGTTTTTCAAATATAAGCTTGTGCAGTAATTTTGCCCCGATTGAATTTACTCTCAGCAGATCCAGCTGTGAGGACCACTGTCCTGGGCTACTCACAGCTCACACAGGGGAAGCAGTGTGTTTGTGTAATGTATTTGTGTCTTCCCTCAATCATACGAGCTAGTATCAAATTCACATGCTGGCTAGCTTCCAAAAAGAGAGGGAGATGGCTCTTTAAAGACTCCTTCATAAAAATAAAAAGTCTGTTCTCTTTTTAAAATTAAAAATTGATTTATAACAAGTTGAAAAGGGTTGCTTTTGTCCTCTAAAAATGATAAAGATAGTGCTTGGAACAATGACTGAGAACACTCTATAAGATGTTTCTTACAAAACAGTGACTGATCAGAAGAGTGAGGATAGGAATAAAATAAAAAACCCTCATGAATATGTATGAAGTCAGTAGAACCCTGCTTTGATTTGAAATATTGGTGGTCTCTTTTTTTTCCCATTTCCAGTACCTATGGTAGATTTACATGGGTAATTTCTATCAATGCTAATGGGGATTATAATGTAAATCCCCCATGCCTCAATGGGAAAATAGACCCTTTGGTTTTCCATCAGGAGGCTGAGTGCCTGCGTGCTTTCATTAGGGTTGTATTATATTGCAACAGGGAAGACGGACAGGTATTTACTGATAGAATTGGCTTTGTCCAATTTTTACACGTAATTCAGCACAACGCAGAGCCTTTGTTAAGAAGACAACAAAAGCCACCAGCCCCGTCTCCCACTGTAGGCTTTTCAGATATTATTTCCAGAGGCCTGCTAAAGGACTGGGTTTTGATGAGGAAGGAGGCTGGGCCTTATCCCAAGGAACTTACTTACCCTAAGGAACTTGTTAGTCTCAGCAGAGAAGAGAGGAAGCACCGGAGAAGCCTGGAGGAAGGAATAACGAGGATTTCCTTACTAAGTATTTCTCTTATTAATAAAAACCTCCTAATTTTCTGGGACCCCATGTCTCTGAGATGCTGATAGTCCCTTTCTGCAGTACCTGCTTGTCCTACTGAAGAGTGCAAAGCTCAGCTGGTGCTGTTAAATTTGAAAGTAGTCGTGAACCTCACATCTGCTTTAAAAGCCTACATTAACAAATAGGTGAAAGGATGTTGGTGGAGCCAAGTTCAGGGATTCTGAGTAATCTGCAAAGCCAAAGATAACATTTTTTTTTTCTCCTATGTACTTGTTACAATGAGCTAAACATGTTATGGACCATTGAAAATATAAAATCCTATCCATGCCCCAAGGAGCTTTCAGTGTGAATAGACAGGGTACAAAGGAAGGATGATTTCAAACTAGGCAGGGTTGTGCTGAGTCAGTAATCTGGTTTTGTTTTAATATGAGGCTCTCAGCCTGTTTTCCAGATTGCTTTTTACTTTTAGAAGTTGTTATAGTTACAGCTGTAACCTTGAAGAAGAAAAGCCAGTGGAACCATTACATTCACATTTATTAGATTCTCAGAGATTCTTAAAATGCTCCATTTATCCTAATGCAGTGTGAACGGTTCTTGTCCATGCATTTTGTTGTCCGTGGATTACTAAATTTGCAGTAGTGGGGACAATCAAAATAGGTGAGGAAAGGAGGAGAGTGGTACCCAGAAGACACGAGCAACCTTTAAGTGACGTGTCAGCTTAGCTTTGGAAGTAACTCACCTCTGGGAGAAAAAAGCACCGGCTTTCTTAAGTCTGATAAATGACACGTAAGGTCTGACAGACTGAATGGGACAAGGAATAAGAACCTGGGAAGGGAATTTTGAGGAATGAGGGACACGTTGGAAGAACTAAGAAAGGGTGGGATCAGCCTAGCAGTGGCCAGATTTTCAGCTGTTGAAAATGAGGGTTGAAGTCAGAGGATGTGTGTGGGTCTGACCTCACTGCAGCCCTGATGAAAAGAATGCAAACCAAACCCAGAAAGGTATTAATAAACCCGTTTGGCTTCAGAGGAAAGCAAAAGTAATAATGAAAAATGGAAGGGTTTACGAGCGAAGATTAAATGAGTTGCTTATGTTCGCTTTAGCTAAGTAATGATAAAAGGGCACCTGATAACTGTCAGGATATGGAAGAAAAAGGGAAACACGCTCTCTGAAGTCCACCACATGTGACACCAAGGGAGATGATTTTTGTTAGATCCATTTGTGTGTGTCTTCACAAAATGAGCATCCCTCCTCTTGCATGCTTTGATGAGCAGTAAAACAGCCATCAATTTAAATGACACCGAGCTTTCCGAAACGAAGGAAGGTGTGTTCCATCTGGCCTCAGCTGCAAGCAGGCACTGCTAGGTGTTTGGTTGGATTTTGTATTTTTTATTGGCAATATTAAAGCATATAGTATTTTAAACTAAAGCATGGGATGTAACTGTTCAGGTAAAGCTGGAGAACTCTGAACTCTTACAGCCTAATTCAAGACCTACGGTGCCAAACTCTCGGAAGGCAAGGCAGGTAACAACAGCATTTGGAAAGTATGTGAATTTAGTTAAACAGTAGTAAGAATTACTAGAAAAGGGTAATCTGTTGAACTACTATATTAATCTTCAAGGGGAAACTATGGAAAAGCCATCCCATAGGTCAGAGTGCTGGAAAACATGCCCCAGAAAACAATTCCGTGCTAGCAAACAGGAGGAAATCTGAAAGCTTTTCTTGCTGATGATTTTTTTTTCCTATTCTGTTTTGTTTTTTTTTTTTTCCATTTTGTTTTGGTTTGTTGTTTTTTTTTGTGTGCGTGTCTCATTCTCTGAATAGAGGATTTTATTTTCATTCTCAATTCTTCGTGTGGCAAAGAATCGCATGTAACATTCAAGCAGTTTAAACATCCGTAGGCCCTCATTTAATGTGCAGTATAAACCTTTATTACGCAGCCTGTCTTCATTCTTTGTAAGGCTGCTCTGGGAGATGGGCTTTTTTGTGTGTGATAAAGTGAGTGTGTTTATAATGAGGTTTGGTGCTATTGTTATTCAAGATGAACTAGCCTAACAATAGAGAGCCCTGCTGTGAGGAGTGCATTGTATTCACGCTCCGAGCAGTCTTCTCCAGACCATGTACCATTGCATCCTTTACTGTATATAATTGCGCGTGCTAGTAATTGGGTAAAACTTAGCATCCTCTTCCTCTTAAAAGGGACCACGGTGAAAATTATTTGCTCTTTTGCTTTGGATCTAATTTCACAATCAGGTATAGTGATAACAGTTTCGGATTCCCGCTGGTATTTTTTGTTTGCGTGGGTTTGTAGGGGTTCTGTCGCCTCTCACGTATTTCCTTCCTCTCTCTTTCAGGAGAAATCCCAATCGTGAATTCATCAATTGGACCAAGCTGCTGCACGTGCAATTGCCAGTCAACTCTACAGGCTATCCTTCAAGAGCTCAAGACCATGAGGAAATTGATGCAGATTCAAGCAGGTATAAAGACTGGTCCCATCCATCTGTGTCCATGTCTAGCATCTTCTTGTTAGGAAAAATAGTCTGTTAAGACAGAAATCTGTCTGGACATTCAGCAAAACCTGGGCAACCTGGACTGTTTATTTTTGGTTGGTTGGTTGGGTTTTGACACGTTGTTCAAAGTCAAATTTTCACAGGCTGTGTGGAAGTGTAATTTTTACTTTTCCTGTAACATGGGATGTGAACTTGTAAGAACCTTTTGAAGCTGAATTACAAAAATAATAATGCGGTTAGACACTCTACTAGTGGGAGATGAGTAGGTGGGTTAATACGCCACAACTAACCCTGGTTTGTGTGGATTTGTTCAGAGGTGCCAAATGCTACTTTGCCTGTTATTACCTAGTCCACTAATCTAAGGGAAGATAAACAAAACCAAAACAAGTTTGGAAGACAACCCAAAGTTATGGGATAGCACTTCTTCATTCAAAGATCTTGCAAGTTGCAGCTCTGCAATAGCCTAAGCTGCGCTAGCTGCTGCGTCTTGTGGCCTCCACCCTTCTTCAGCCTGGTCTACCATTTCCTGTACTAAGCTATTTCTACTAGCTGAACTAGCCGAAATCTGTTCACGGGTGAAGACTTTGGGGGCTAGGTTTCTGCTAGGTTAGGAGCTGAATTAGAACAGTGCAGAGCTAGAAGAGCGCTGGAGCCAGAGAGATAACGAGACTGGCAGCTGGGAGTTAGGTGGGTGATTGTAGGCTGCCATGAAGCTCGCAGCCTCTGTGCTTCGTAAATGGTGGTGTTAATACTAACGAGGAGTTGAAGGCATTGGAGATTTTTCAGCTGAGCTCCCCATCCATTGTGAGCGATAGGGAGTGGATCCATGGAGGTTTTTCTTACAGCAGCTGGATAACAACCCTGTAAGAAAAGAGAGCGTTGAGCAATTACCTGAAATATGGGTGGAGTGAAGGGCTGACTAAACTCCTTGTATCCACAGTGTGTAGTGCTTTAGTGAGCTAAGGGGAGGATCAGGCAGGTTTTGTAATATCTCTTGATGCAAATGAAAATGATTTTCAAAAAGTCGTCAATTTACAAAGTACACGAAGGCCCAGTTTTACAATATTTTCTGGGATAGGGATTTCTTTACACAGTTGTGCTGATTTTATTGAAATTACGAGCATGATTAAAAATTACTTGTGGAGTTGATGCCAGAAGAGCTGGCTCCTCAATAGCAGGAACATTTCTTATTCATTATGTATTTACAATATAAAAACTTTGTTAATTAGTGAATCTCTTGATGAAAAGACCAGGTTCATAGTTTCTGGCGTGCATAGGAAAAAATGGTTTTGCAGAGAAAAAAAAAAGTTTGGTATTTTTGTTGATAAAAGAAAAAATGGAAAATGCAAATGTGTATGTGAAAGTGTAATCACTTCTTTTGGTATTCACGCACCCTTCTGTCTAAATGATAAACTATAAACTACAGCACTGTGAGTCCTTACTAGAAATTAAATACCACAGAAATAATTTAATAAACAGTATCAGAAGGTTTGTTTTTTTTTCCCTGAGTTTTGTAGGTGAGAACCCTTAGTAGTTCACTTATAGCTTGAATGAGCTTGATTTGCATATGGTGAAACATAGATGTCTAGCATTTTAGTAGTTTTTTTTTGGTTTTCCCCTTGATCTTATTAAGTATTAATACAAGTCATTGTATCTGCATGGTGTTCTGCTGGAGGACTCGGTCATGTTGATACGGGTTCAGGATTGGTGCCTTCATTTATACAAATGACAGTGGATATTAGAAAATGCAAAATATCAATAATTATAAAATACGGTCTCTTGGGTTTCAAATGTAATACATGACCTGTCAGTTTCTGTGTATGAGCAAAACAAACTGATCCAACTTGGGGTTCGTTTTTTTTCCTAGAAATTAAACTATTGAATAGTGTTTTCACTCATTCTTGACATAATGGTACTTGAAATGTTCTTGCTGAGCTAATTAACTTGGTGACTACATTCAGAAAAATAACTGTAATTGCATTAGCTCTTGTGTTATTTTATCAAGAAAAGATGCTCAAAGACAATGAGATTCTCAGTCATTCAAGAGTATACAAATTAATCGTTGCTTGAGCCTTTTATGTCACTAACCACCCAGTGGACACTAGGAGGAAGAGCCACGTATTCCTGATTTTCCTAAAACTGTTCATCAATATGTCTTGAAATTCCTCATAGTGGAGCTCAGTGTCATTATCCCCATTGTACAGATTGGAAAATTATGCAAAGGTGATAAAATGTAACTGTTCCACATGCACAAACAGCACTGAAAACTGTACCATTTATCCAGAAGATGAGTTCAGTATGCCTGTAGTTTAATGGTTTGTCTGTGTGGTTATGCATGTTTCTTTGTCTATAAATTTAATTCATTACTTTTTTTTTCATTCAGTTGGAACTCAAAACAGACAGCAGCCTCCTGTTCCTCTGATTTGTGCACAAAAGTCGACAATATCAAGAAAGAGGAATAAAAAGAAAAAACTACCCCTCAAAACTGTTGAACCAATTACCATGAATAAGAAAACCAGCACTGCAGAGAATGAAAAGAAGCTGTCAGTAAACTCTGAAAGATCAAATCTGCAAGCAGTTGAACCTCCCCTAAATTCAGAAACCCCTGTTTCAGGATTTGGAATTATCCTTGAATCAACTTCATCAGATGTAAGTTATATTTCAGTACATTGAATCACATGTGTTTAAAGCGCTAATTTGGGAGAATCTGTACTCGTGTCAGCTTGAAATGGATTTCCTCTTCTCACAAGAATAAACAAGAAAGACTTGGGTAGATTTGATGGAGGCAGTAGAGTTCGACATGGAGAGGGCTGATTAAAAAAATTGGGTATTTGTTGTTGTTGTTTTTGTTTTTCATGAACATGAAGTTTGGTCTTGAATTCAAGGCTTCCTGTTGTCTGAGCTTGCAGTGGAAAATTGCTTTTCTTTACCTGTCCTGTTGCCAAGAGCCACCATGAGATCAGGAGCTGTGGCAAGTGCTCTGTGTATAACGATTCACAACCCTGTTATTTGTTGATTAATTCAAGTAGTCCACACATAAGCCCTTATCCTGCCTAGATGTGCTTCACTGAATGCCTGGCTGGTCCTGCTGACCTCAGAGGGCTCCTCGCCTCCATAAAGTTCATACCTGTCTTTGAATTGGGTTCTTCAGTTTTCATTGCTGTGGCTGCTAGATAAAGGCCTTGGCACTGTTGATGATGTCCCTGCGATTAAAGGGGCCCAAATTTGCTGCTTTTAAAACATGTACTTGTCACATATAAAATGGCAGTAAGCATATTTTTTTGATTCACATAACATGTATGCATTGATAGAAATTTCATGTATCTGGTGGCTGATTGGCTTTGTTTAATGACCAAACAGATGTAGTCTGAACAGTTCACTGATGAGTAAACTGATCATTAATTTCTCTAATACATTTTTAATTTTGAGAAGGCAGTTTCCAATTTCCTAAGTACTGTGAGATAGAAAAACATAATTAAATTCAGTATCAATAAGCGTAAATGAAAACAATGCTGCAGATAATGTTCTACCTTTCTGAAAGTGGGAACTAATAATAAAAGAGAGTAGTCATGATAATTCAGTTATATAGATGCAAGCCACACCACTAATTAGATTGCAGTCTCATGCCATAGAGTCTGTGTGGTGATATAAAGTAACTAGTTTGATGCTTTTTCAAAGCTTTTGTTGTATGATGCTTAATAATGTCTGAAGGAATGTGTTTGGGGAGGGACTTGTCATTTAGCTCCAATACGTGATTTCTGCTTGTAATTTGTCTTCGCTTGTGGCACTCTTTTCAGTTTGAAACACAGTTTTGAAAACAGTTTTGTGCTTGCAATGGAATTTAATTTGGCCTTATGAATGTGTTTCATTGCTGGACACAATCCTTTGTAGGTGCCAATTTGAACTTAAAAAAAGAACAGAAAGCATGTGGTTCATAAATCAGATCTTCATCTGCCCTCCCGTGCTTTGGCCCCCGTTTGCCACAGCAGTTGTTTGAATACATTTACAGAGCCAGAACCCCAAGACAAACAAATTGATTTTGTTTTGCCTTTGGAAAGAAAACAGTCGAGTTCTGAAAACAGATATATTTAACAGTGAAAATAAAATGTGACCTTAAACATTTTGAAAAGGCTAAATAAAGTCATTTCTTTCAGACTGAATGGTGGTATTATGTTTTTCTATTTAGTCCTAAGCATCTCTAGCGTGCTCACAACCAGCATGTCTGAGTGCTTAAAGAAACTGAAAGACATTTTACACGGCACCATAAATTAGCGTTCTCTTTACAATATTGCATGCGTTGTGGGTCATACACAAATGCTGCTGCCGCTGTTATTTTTCCAACGTTTATTGAACTTTAAGATGATCACAGAATCCTAGAACACCCTGAGCTGGAAGGGACCCTCAGAGATCATTGACTCCAACTCCTGACTCCACAGAGGACCACCCAAAAACCAGCCCATGTGTCTGAGGGTGGTGTCCAAACACTGTTTGAACCCTGTCAGGCTTGGTGCTGTGCCCACTGTCCTGGGGAGCCTGTCCCAGTGCCCAACCACCTCTGGGTGCAGAACCTTTCCCTAACACCAGCCTGACCCTCCCCTGTCCCAGCTCCATGCCGTTCCCTCAGGTCCTGTCGCTGTCCCCAGAGAGCAGAGCTCAGCACCTGCCCCTCCGCTCCCCTCGTGAGGGAGCTGCAGGCCGCCATGAGGCCTCCCCTCAGCCTGCTCTGCTCGGGGCTGAACACACCAAGGGACCTGAGTCACCCAGTCTTGTCCTCTAGACCCTGCCCCATCTTTGTAGCCCTCCTTTGGACACTCTATAATAGTTTTATGTCCTTTTGATACCGTGGCACCCAAACCCACACACAGAGCTCGAGGTGAGGCCGCCCCAGTGCAGAGCAGATCAGGACAATCCCTCCCCTTGCCCAGCTGGCCATGCCGTGCCTGAGGCACCCCAGGGTGCTGTTGGCCCTCCTGGCTGCCAGGGTACAGTGCTGGCTCGTGTTCAGCTTGCTGTCAACATCTCAAATGAAGATCCCAGCTTCATTTATATAAAAATGGGGCTACGTGACCCAAACCAGTGCAGTTAGTTGAGATTTGCTAAGATGAAACACTGCTGCTTATGGAGATGGAAAAAGTCTGCGTTTGGCTCAGTGAGGTCAACCCTTAATCTGGCCCACAAATCAGATAACCCATTTTTTAAACGTAATGATCTGTTACTAGATAAATTTTCTTGTGTTTGTTTTACTGTTAGGAGGTTTCATTTATAATTTAATCATTTCTAATCTAAATAGTACGACCTACTGAAATGTCTAGGATTAACTCTAATTCGCTACCTGCTAATTCTAGCATTGGTATTCAGCTCTTATTTATTTCATTGTACAGGAGTAGTTTACACACGGGTTTCTTAGGCCAGGATCATTATAACAAATGCTTTTCCTTTTGAGAAAGCACATTCTAAATGATCATCGCGTTCAATTAGATACTGATTGTCTTGGATGGAAAAACAATTTGCTACTAAAGGAAACCAAGAATCGGTATTTTTCCCTCAAATTCTTTCACTTACATAGAAATTAATATATTTAATATAAAAAGATCAAAACTAAAGTAATATTGACTCCTTTATGATGATGCAGAGGTGAGGTCTCAACTGTATTTTGCGGCTGTATTAGTGAGAATGACTTGTCTGTTCTAGCCTGCTTGTATCATCGAGGTCATCTTAAATTGCAATTGTAAGACCCAAGACCAAAGTAGCAAAAATAAGGTAGGATACCTTCATCACCATGACAACTACATTCTGGTTTTTGATTAATGTGAAGTAGAATTTTTCACAAGTAGTAAACTTGGCCCACGTTTATTTACGCTTGAAATTCTTCATCACCAGAAACTTTAGAAGTAAAATATAAAACCCACCTACATCAGATGATTGTCAAATAGAGTAACACGGACAAAAAACTTTTTGTCCTGAACAAGCTGAAAATATTATGCATTTTTCCAACTTTTTCCTTACTATCTGCATATTTTAAGAATGTTCATCCTGGTTTCCAAAGGCAATGTGTGTGATGTCCAGTTTCATGTGTATCACACAATGTACATTGTGTATGCTTTGGAAGTACTGCTTGCTGTAACTCTCTTGATATTGATTTTAAAAATCCATGGGAAAAGAGTTACACAGCCAAATCCTGCTGCGAGTGGCAGCCATTTCTTCTATCTAGACTCAAGAAGTTTGCAGGTGATTTGATGCAGGCTGGCATTTGCTCTTGTTCTGTAAACGTTTTTGAAAATACACCCTCGCTGGTGAATGTATTTTCATGCAAGGAAAAAAAAAAAGAGCAAGTTGTTATGAATAAGGCTGTAATGTTGTTATTTGCTCACATCATGACCACAGATTTTAATTATTTTTTTTTATCCCTTTCCAGCTTCCAGATAATATCTTAAAACATATATTCTTTTCACGATACATCTTCATTCTAGATATACAATTTTTCCATACAGGCACCTTGTGGAAGCATCACATGGTAGTCATAGAAGAAAATGCTATAAATGTTCGTGTAATTTCTGATTTGTACAGACAGGGGCAGCAAAAAAACTCCCAGAGAGGGGACTTCCTCAAAGGCCTTTGTCTGCTTTGGCCCAAAGTGTGCTTGAGATGAGTCGTGTGTAATACAGCATGATTTTTCCTTCTTCATCCCCTCCACCTCCCTTTCTGGAAGTCACATAAATCTCTGTGATTTATCACAGAGGGTTGTTGGTTGTTTTTGTTGTTTGCTTTTGTTTTGCGTTGAAATAATCTGTGCATATGACATCATCCTGTTCTGAGGCTGCGTTTGGGGGATATGAAACTGAGGGAGAAGTAGCTAATCAGCAAGCACTGGCTACAGAGACAACCTCTAAGTCATCCTCTACTTTGCACGGGCTGTGTTTGCTCTAGAAGCTCTCTTGGGAAGCTGCGTGGAATGGACTGCTGGCCCTGCCGTTGTCCTTCCTGGAAGCGCCTGGCTGCCTCGCAGCATGCTAATCTGCATCATTTGGCAGTGAAACATGTCCATAAAACAGGGAGATAAATGTCCAAAAAGCTTTGTATAGGAATATTGCTCCGGGATGATCCTCTGGTTTGTAATTAGTATCCAATATTGAAAGGTATCTCTTTTCTTTTTGTTAGCTGTACGCCTTGAAATAATGTCAGTGATTGTTAACTCTTACAGTGGCCAGACAGAAGTGTGATTATTTGATTTGCCTTTTAAGGTTCTCATTCACTGATGGTGTTTGATTTCAATGAAGTAGGTGCTGAATGGGGTGCTGAATAGCTGGAAGAAGATTCATGGTTTGATTATTGAAGTGATTGTAAATCTCGCCAGATGCATGATTGAAGTAAAATAATGTGTTTGAATGCTATTTTAATTAAAACATTCATCTTCTTTTGGTAGCCAGAAGTGCAACTTGCAGAAGGCTTTGACGTCTTCATGCCGAAATCTCAGCTGGACTCTATATTATCAAACTACACTCGCTCAGGAAGTCTGCTCTTTAGGAAGCTGGTCTGTGCATTTTTTGATGACAAGACTTTGGCTAACTCTTTACCAAATGGCAAAAGGAAAAGAGGGCTCAATGACAACCGAAAAGGACTAGACCAAAATATTGTGGGTGCAATAAAAGGTATGTTTTTGCTTACTTTCGTATGTGTAATTAGACCACGTTTGCAGCTAAGGAGAATGTAACGGGATTAGACTTCCTGACGTGCATTAGGTCTATTAAAACATGCAGTCTTATCTTTATTCCCTTTCATTCACTTGTTAAAAATAGATTCTACAGGGACAGCTTGTGTTAAGTTTAAGCCAATGATCCCAGATTCTGAAGTCAGGCTCTAAGGTTGGAATCTCTGTGTTCTGGTTAAGAATTCTTATTTCCTGGATATCAGCGACACAAGGAAACGTTGAAAACATAATGACGGCGAAACTGTTCGTCTTCAGTCAAAATTCTGAGGCTTCTCTACATCTGACTGTGTCTGCTCTGTAAATAGTTTAATAGTTGGTGGCTGGACTGGGGAGAGATAGGGGAAGATTTTACTGGGGCCAAGAGATGAGCTTGATGCTCATAAGAGCTGTGGTGGTTGAACTGGGAGCAAGGTTCTTAGTTGGTGTGACCTTATGCCGGGTGTTTTTGTTAGCAATCACTGCCTTCTGGGTTCCAGAAGGAAATATCTACTGTCAAACACTGTGATCACAACAAGTAAAGAGCTGGTATTACATCAGAGACTCTGGATTGGATTCCACTGTTAGGAAAACACTGTTTTGCCCAGAGAAGCTGTGGCTGCCCCAACCCTGGAGGTGTTCAAGACCAGGCTGGATGGGGCTTTGGGCAACCAGATCTAGTGGGTAGGATCCTTGCCCATGGATGTGGGGATGGAACTAGATGATCTTTAAGGTTCCTTCCAACCCAAGATGTTCTATGACTGTATGAAATTGCATATAGAAGAAAAATACCCAGGTTACGAAAAGGCTGTGTTGCAAAATAGGGCTTATTTTAGGGCCTTTGACTTGTCCTGAGGTACAAATTGGTAATCTAGGACAAACAAGGCAATAAGAAGAGCTTCTGTAATCACATTGGCAGCAAAAGAAGGCCGGGGGACCTTTTGCAGACAGTGCTGTGTGTAGCTTCAGGCCCCCTCCCCATGCAAGAAAGACCTTGACATACTAGAGTGAGTCCAGTGGCTGGCCACCAGGACTATTGTAGGACTTAAACAGGTAAGTGGTGAAGCAGATATGCAAGGTGGCAAATGAGAAGAGGCTGACAGAACTGTTTCAGTCAGCCTGGAGAAGAGAAGGTTCAGGAGAAACCACATTGCTGTCCACAGCTACCTAGCGGGATGGAATAGAGAAGATGGAGTCAGACTCTTCTCAGAGGCACAAGAGGCATTGGACACAGGGGAAAATTTCAACGTGATGTAAGAAGCTTTTTCAGCACAAGGGTGGTCAAACAGTGGAACGGGAGCTCAGAGAGGCTGCAGGATCTCCATCCCGTGAGGTATCCAGAATTTGACTGGACGTGGTCCAGAGCATCATGATCTACTTGGGTGTGCTTCAAGCATCAGGTTAGACATTGAGACGTCCAGGAGTCCCTTTCAACCTGTGCAATGCTGTAATAAAGTGGTTATGTCATAGTGCTAATGCATCTTGCAGAGTTTCTGGCAGGCTTTCTTACAGTTCTGCCTATAATTAGGGTTCAATTATAAACACTACCTGTTTTTCTAGAGATCAATAATCTGTGAAAATTTGCAGTTGAATTCACTCCATCTGTATCTCATTCTTCCCTAAAAGCTCTAATAAATAAGTTAAGTGGAAGAGAAAGGAGTTCAAAATTACTTAAAAGAAATAAAATAAAATAAAATACTTGGAGTGGCACTATTGTAAGAAAAAATGTTTGTGAGTTGATGCAGTGGCACTATTAAAATAGCAGTCGTCACCCACTGCAGAGATCAGTGTTTGTCAGCAGCTGAGCTCATGTTGCCAGCGCAAATCCTGAAGCTTGGTTTAACCTCTTCCCTTAGCCCCAGAGAGGAGGAAAGGGAGGAGGAGGAGTTTCAACAGATGAATTTTGTCTGTGGTGGTACTGCTAGGTACCGCTGTAAGAACAGTGATCTTTAGTGGCATTTACAGGATTGCCCAAACGCTAGTGCGTGATCCCTGGTAGGGGAGCCCCGTCCTAAAAGCTGTGATGGAGGAAGATGCTGAGGGCATCTGAGGATCTTTACTCAGCCTGGCTCCAATGGCACCGTTTTTCCCCTCAAAGAGCTGGGCTATCGAGCACTGTGGTTTCATTTATTCCAAGAAATGACTGAGCCAGTATGAAATCTCCATGAGAACAACACCATGTTGTTTGCATTATTTCATTAGGACATTCCTCTACCAGATATCCTTTAGTGGCGCTTTTAGTCCTTCTCCATGACACAGACACAAACGTAGGGGAAAAAAAAAAAAAAAAAAGGCTACATTCATGACAGAAATGAGCAGGGAACTTAAAGGAGAGACTGTTTGCTTGAAAATTGCTCTCCTTGTCTGAAAACATTTTAACTGCCATCCTTACGGGTAATTTAACACCTCTGTAACAGGATGATTAGCCAGGAATAAATTCTCCCTTTTGACTTTGGATATTCAGTGGCACTTGTTGAATCAGTTGCAGTGCTTCTCCCGGGCAATCAATTTCCCTTGTGAGCTGCATCAATCTTTCCCTTAGCGCTTAGAGGAGGGAGGGGGACAGATCAGAAGTGGTTGGTTGTTTTTTTTTTCCTTTACGTTCCTGCCGAGAAGTCCAGCCCTGCATGAAGGTCTGCTCCTGCAGAAGTAATGAGCTGTGATCAGATCTGCTGGGGAGATTTATGGCACAGTGAGGTACAGCTCAGATGGACCGGAGAGGTGAGGTCCCACGTCTGCCTCCTTCCTATTCCATTCCCACTCTTGCTCTCCGAGGCTGCTGTACCCTCTTTACCCATGCAGCCAGCAGCGAGCAAGAGTCAAAAATCCACTTCCACATGTGGAGGGTGGCCTGGGGACAGCCTGGTGTCCCACGTTGTCCCCAGGCCCTGGTCACAAACACAAAGTTCTCTCCCACGTTTGAAGTAGGAGTCTTAAGGCATCAGTCAGGCTCCCATTGTATCAGGGACCGTATGAATTCAGGAAGGAAGGAGCATTTCTACCTTTGAGGAGTCTGTGAAGTGTGGCAAATCGGACACTGGCAATGTACGGGGCTGTACTGACCTCTCTGGGAAACCTCCTGAGTCGGGCCGGGCTGCAGAGAAAAATATTGTTAATGCCTTCCATGCAATGGTTTTGTGAAGTTGTTAACATGAAAAGAATTGGGAGGGTGTGATTACTCTGGGTCCCTTTGTACTTAGCAGCTAGCACTGCTTCAAAAGTCTGTGCGTAAGGATTCTGAAATGGACAGTTTTTGCTGCGTGCTTCTCCACCCTATTTGTGTGACATTTCTTCCCAAGGATTACAAATTCCTTCAGCTGGGACCAGTTTTCTTTCTTTCTTTGCTGGTCATTAGTGGACAGTTGGCTCTGAGGACTAAGCCCAGGACTACAACAGCAATACTAACAGCCATGGCGTTTTTTCTATTTTTGCTCTCGTTGCCTTTGCACACACCTCGATTGTGTGATGAAAATCAATTGCATCAGTTTCGCTACATTTATAATTTCCTAAATTGTTTGGTTTGTTGTAAATATGGCACAGAATTTCCTTTTGTATATGGAATGAAGGACTATGTTGTTCATACATGTACTATTTTTACAAAAATATAAAACTAGGCCTATATGATATTTATTTTTCTCAATCAAATCTGTTTTTTTAGTAGCTTTATAAAAGTTCTGTTCCATCCAGCTTGGCAGTATGAGAACTGTCGAGATTTCTGCGGTGCTAGGACCTGTGTCATTCAACAGCTTGCTTGCTGACTTAGAAACAAGTCTGAGAGGGCACCAAATGACCAGAAGTTCAGTTCTCTACTTATACCCAATGGAAGGCAGCATTTAGAAATGCCTGCCACATCTGGAGACTCGTTTTAAAGTACTTATTTAGTGAAACATTGAGTTTGACCCTGTCCTTGCAATCCTAGACTTGACCATTGAAATGCTCTTAGTTAAGCTGATGATTTGATGCAGTTTGTTTGTAATCTTCAGCCTCCTTTCCCCAGTTGTGGTGGCACGTTTGAAAAACCTGGTGTCTTTTTATTTCAGTCTTCACAGAAAAATACTGCACGGCGAACCACGTGGATAAACTTCCTGGTCCCAGGGACTGGGTCCAGATTCTTCAGGATCAAATTAAACTGGCAAGAAGACGATTAAAAAGAGGCTCAGGTATGTATAAAAATATAAAGAAAAACCATGTGAGTGTAAAATTAAAACCTGAGAGCCTTTTCTTGGTGACTGTAACTGTTGTACACGGTCACTCTATAAAAATTTGACCTCTCAGCTTTTAGCAGGTTTCTAGTACAGGGTGACACATTTAGGAGCACTCTTTGCAGCTTTTTAAAAATCTTTTTCAATGTCGTCTCCAACCTCTTTCCATTAGCAACCAAAAACTTCTTAGAATCGTATCCTGAAGTGGAAGGGAGCCACGAGGATCACTGAGTCCAACTCCTGATCCCACACAGGGCAACCTAAGAGTTAACCCATGTATCTATGAGCATTCTTCCCAGCGTTTTATAGGATTTGAGTCATAAACTAGCTGATCCAGCCAGGGCTGTGGGTAGAAGTTGTTAAATTCCCTGTTATTTGGCCTTCCAAGCCACTTACCGTACTGTTAGGACATAACCCAAGTTACCTTTCCCTCCAAACTCTGTGTCTCTGGAAGGAGAGAGGAGTTTTCTCACACTCCTTGCGAAAGAACCAGCATCACTGTACCAAAAAAAACCCCATCCCACGCTGGTTGTGCCTGTGAGGACCTACCAAAGCATAGGAGTGAGCGTGCCAGCAGTGAGTAACAGGTAATTTAGGCAGGGATTTGCAGCAAAGCTGCTCAGCTTTACAGAGGAACGTGCAGGACAGCCTGGGACCGGCCTGACACAGCTCCCCGTGCAGGGAAGGCACAGTTTGAAGCATCCACCCTGAGAGCCTCCAGGTCATCACCGTGCCCATGAGCTCTCCGTTGCAGTGATGTGCAGTCCCAAAATCCCCTGTGGAGTTCACAGGAATCCAAAAGCAATATCGCTGATTGAGAGCTGTTTAATTACTTTACAAACCTGAACTAGTCTCCTTCCCATCTTCAGGCCTCCTGTCCTACAAGGGGCTTTCTTCATGCTTCCTACTTTTCCCTTCTGGTGTCTCTTAAGGCTCTCCTGTGGTCATATGTCCTGCCCATCTCTCCCTTGGAGCATCTGACTTCACTGTCTGAGGTGCATCACCTGTGCCAATGTCCTTAAACATGTTCCTTCACCGTTATCATGTGTTCCTGCCTGCCTTTTCCCCTCTTCCCTTCTCCCCCTCACCACAATTAAGTGCCTGTTAGCATCCATGGGTTGAGAAATGGGAAATTCAATGGCTCAGCAGGGGATGCAGTGGTCCCACTAGTTATGGGGAGGTGAGATAGACTGCAGGAAAAGGCAAAGACATTTCTCTCTGGCTCCGTGTGTCAGAGAACCAGCATTTTCTGCCCAAACACACGCTGGCATCTGAATTCTTTATCCACAGCTCTGTTAATGCCAGGAGGGAAAAGCATAAAACTAAAGAAAATGAGGAGCACCCAGAGACAGAAGCACCACAGGGCAGTGGGGGGAATACAAATAATTCAGTAGCACGAGCTTCCCTGAGCAGAGCAGCACACCACTAGCCTTAAAAAGGGCTTCTTGTGCACGTTGGGGTGGGAGGAGAGAGGGACACAAGGTAATCTCCTTAAAGGCAGTGTCAGCTCACTGAGGGTGTACAACAGGACTGATTTCTGCCCCTTCCAAAGGCTGCCTGGGCAGAAGGGTGGAAGTGCAATGTCAGGCTCTGGGAAGGTGAATTGCACAGCGTGGGATGTGGGGAAAAGAGGGTCTTTGGGTTGCCTGCAGAAGATCCCTCAGGGAAGAGGATTGACCTAATTTTGTTTAGATTTTTGTTTTCCTTCGTCCGTTTTTATTTGCTGTTCTTGGTGCCTCTGCAGGGTACTAATTAAAATGACGATGCCCTTCTGCTTTTGCCTTTTAAACAGGGCCACTTCCATCTCTGGTCCTTTCTTGGGATGGCAGAATCGAAGCAGAGGATATTCTTTGTACGTGAGCAAGACTGTGAAGAAAAATAAGCCAGGCTGAGTATAGTGAGGGTGAATAAGATAATAAGGGTCCATCTCTGTCTGTTTTGTTTCCTACAATGCCCATTAAGAGATCCCTAAGGAAGTCCACAGGGCCAAGGGAAAGACGGGGTGATTGCTAGCACAGTCTCACAGCCCTCAGAAGTCTTAGCCTGATTTAGACCTGGCAGCGTGGGAACAATGCAAATGTGAACTATTCATTGTGAAACCTTTCTAAAATTGTCGGCGCTGTGGGTAACTCGCCGAGACCAAAATGGGAGAGGAGGGCAGTTACGGAGGGAGGTTTGAGCTGCTTAGGGGAAAGATGTTCCCAGCCTTCATCTTGCAAAACGCTGTTTTTAGGAACCCAAAACCCCCCAAGCAGGTGTCCTCACTTCCCTACTCCCCAGTCACCCTCTCTTAGCTTTGTCTACACTTGCTCCCCAAAATATGCCATGTGGGCTTGGGCTGAGGTGCCCTAAGAACAAATTGGAGCCAGCATTACGCTAGATTGATCTGAGACTTTCTAAGCCGCCGTGTCTCCCTGCTGGCTGCTCATGCTGCTTTATCTAAATCAGTTTCGAGTTTGTTTCGATGCACAGGCTTTATCTGGGAAAAGCTTAAGGTGGTCTATTTATTTCACAGAAACCACAAAACAACTTTTTAGTCACCACTGAGTTGTGCTAAATTTGAACAGCAGAAGTATTTAAGAGACAAGGGGCAGGCTTTCCATTCTGTTTGCCTTCCCCTGAGCCATTTAGTCTATCCTCTGATTAGTTTCTCACTTCAAACCAGGCAATAAGGCACTGCATTCATGAGCAGCCCTGTCTGCTTCATCCTGTAAAACATTATTTCAGTCTGATAACATAAATCCTGCTCTAGCTTTCGGTGATATTAATAATTTGAAAGAATTCTAGCAAATGAGTGGGATAGGTCTGGTTTTTGTACCTCTCTCTGTCGGGTGTATTCTCTCGAGGATTTCCAAATTAATTGAAATCATGATCACTGGATGATAGATGCTGTCCAGCTTCATCCTTATTTATCATGTTTGGCTCATCTCCTAGAATTAGGGATGGAAAAGCTCCCTACTTGGAAAGCTAATAATAAAAAAAAATCCACTTTAAAATTCTGCTTTCTAGAAAATAGTTCCCCTGTGTGGATTTTGAAAGGTTGTTATCCTAAGCCAAATAAAAATTCATTTAAGTTCGGAATCAGTGACAATATTTTCCATAGCTAGAAATATTCTTATTTATTTATTTATTTATTTATTGCTTTGGCTTTCTCTTAGTTCTTTGAGATTATTGCCTGAGATCTGAGACTCGGGTAGGGTTTTTTTTTTTTTATTTGTTAGATCTGAGAATAAAGCTGTCACTTCCATTAAATTTTTATTGGCCTTGTTCAGTCTTCTCAAAATTTCACAAGTCGGCTGTCACAAAGGGGAGAAGAGACTGCGAGGTTAACGTTACAAACAGATGTTATAATTAAAATTAAATAGTATGATAATATCCCTCAGCCTTGAATATCGGTCCCGTTTCATGGCAGCAGCACAGCGTCCTGGGGCACAGCTTCGGAGTGCCAGATCTGCCTTCTCCCAGCAGAGAAGCTTCTCAGCTTCTGGCACGGGATGCAAAGTGGCCCTGGAAGGGAAGGAAGTCAAAGGAAAAAAAAAAAAAAAGATGTGTAGGTTTCCTCTTGTAAAGCAGTGTGAATTACTGTGCAAATCAGCTCGTAATTTACTCGGGGCATTCCCCACCGCGTGGTCTTTCCACCCTACAGAGAGGATGTGGGTTGGGGGCTGGTGGCCTTGCCAGTGGCGTTACAGAGCCAGGGAGCATTAGCATAAAGATCTAAGAAGGGCAAAATCAGAAGGAGCTGACTTGCTGCTCATGTCACCTCTGCGCTAGACGTAGTATGGAAGCCTTTTGATTCCTAAACTCTTCATCCCTTAATAAGCAGCGGGTCAGGGGCCACGCAGCTCTTGCAGTAAGTTCTTCCTCCCTTTTTATGTTTTGAAGAGAGTACATAAGCCATTATGCTGTAGCATCTGCCCGTTGCATAGGCAGGGAAGTTGCTGCTGTGTGACTAACGCTCCCGGAGTACCGAGGGTAAGAGCTGCTCATGCAAAGTGATTGCTTTGTGCATAACCTGGAAGCTTTTGATTGCCATACACAACAAAGGACAACATAGCAGCACTGGAAAACACGCTGAAACTTTTCAGGCAGGATTAATTTAAATTACAATCCCATGACGTTTCATCCTTGAAGTGTTGTTTAAAATTAATATTATGTTGTTGTAATGTAAAACAGTGGGAAAGAAGGAAGGAACAAATGCTTACAGGCTTTTTGGAAATTTGCCTTTTCTCCCACATCCTTGTGCTTCCATTCCACTGCTTCCATTGCCTTGTGTAAGGTTTTGGGAGGGGGTAGAGGGGCTTGGTTGTTTTTTGGGTTTTGCTTTCTATTTCTCTTCATCTTTCTGATTTCCCTGGTTTGTGTTTTTGATACAGTATCTATGTATGTTAGAGGTTGTGTTGATTTCTCTTTTGCTTAGCAATAAACACAAGACCAGGAAGGATGTAGGATGTAAGCCCAAGATGTGACACACTGCTTTTGTGGCTAGTATCTGAGATAAAGATAGCGATATTAAAATGAGCTACTCTTGCAATAACCTTGCCAGCCCTGAGCATACCTGTACTTCTGGCCAAGAAGCAAACCAGCAGGTGTGCACTTAACAAACATGGACACCAGAAGCTAAACAGTTTTTTAGGAAAAAATATAGACCTCTAAGGAAATGATTAGTAGGATTGTTCTGCAGTAGCTGTTGAGTTCTACCTAAGCAAAGGACAGAAAAGAGTGTTAGAATTCCCACAGCAGACTCTATTCCTGCTTGCCTTGTCTTGCAGGCTGGCTCAGGACATGTGAAGTTTGGCTGGCAGGCCCTGGGTGTGGTTGTTGAAGGCAAACTTTTCCTGCTTGGAATGCAATGGGAGAAGATGTTGCTTTACATCCATGTTAGGAGGTCAGAGTGTTTATCACGCAGTTGGGAGCAGGAGCTTTGCTGGTTGTACTGAAACTGTGGCTACGCATCCAGTGTCATAAAACAAACTGGGACAGCCACTGAGAAGTGCATGTCTTGTTCCCACTCCCTTCCTGGCACTGGCAAAACCATTCATGTGGCCACGTTGTCAGTTTTTAACTTGATCTGACTGCTGTGCCCATATGAACGTTTGTGCTGGCAATAGGAACAGGGCTGGAACAACCAGCGGTGAGCTGGACCTCATCTATCAGCACCATATCGTTCTTGTGCCAGATTAAAATGGCCAGGTTATCTGTTATCAACAAAGCTGCTTCTGCAAATTTGGAAACTCAAGTCCTTATCTTCAGAAAGCCCAGCACTTCCCAGCCTCCGTTTGTTTCTGTGCGACTCCTTCCTCTGAGTTCAACTTCAGCCAGGTGTGAGGAGGGCAATAAGGCAGAGAGAAAACCACGTTTCTAGGGCTACTTCAGGAGTCACTGCTGAGACTTCCAGAAAACCTCTCGCTGGAGTGGACAGCATAGCTGGTGGCATGGGATGTCAGCCTATTGCCAGCACTCATGTCATGTCTTGCTTCCCCCATTTTCATAGCTTGGGTCCCTTCAGCCCACGGGGCTGTTTATGGTCTCATCTCTTGCATGCCATGCTGCAGAACCACTTGGTGCAGGTAGTTCCTCGTACCATAGCTACAAGTTGGCCTCAGACCATGAGTTCTTGCCCAGAAGTACATATCCTATTGTTTTTTTCCTAGCCACTCATTTCATCACAGTGTCTCCTCCCTCCAGTCCTTCCATCGCTGTTAGTCCAGTCCTGGTGCAAACCAACGCAGAGGCAGAGAATCGTGTAACTTCTTCCCATTGATCGAGCTCCATACTCTTTCCAAAATTAATATTTTTTTGCAATAAGCTGTAGCAAGCACTTAATTTCTTTCTGCTCAGTGTGCTGCCCTCTCACAGGAAGCAGAAGAAGGTATCGGTTCAAGGCACAATCAGAGTAACTTGCAGGTCTGTGTCTTGTACTTGTTAGAGCTCTCAATTTAAACCATCCATGGGAGGAAAGCTGTTTAATATTAGGGGTTTTTGTTTGTTTCTGTTTCCTTATTATTCTGTATTCTGTTTTCCAGCAGCAAAGCTAGTGGAGGGACAAGAAAAGAGTTATGGGGAGCGAGTGAGGGAATTGGGGTTGTTTGATCCGGAGAAGAGGAGGCTGAGGGGAGACCTCATCGCTCCCTACAGCTGCCTGAAAGGAGGCTGCAGCGAGGAGGTGTTGGTCCCTTTTCTCAGGTGACAAATGATAGGACACAAGGAAACGGTCTCAAGTTGGCCCAGGGGAACTTTATGTTGGATTTTAGGAAGAATTTCTTCATAGAAGGGGTTGGAATGGGCTGCCCGGGGAGGTGGTGGAGTCCCCGTCCCTGGAGGTATTTAAGAGATGTGTGGACGTGGTGCTTAGGGGCATGGTTTAGTGGTGGGACTCGGTAGGTCAGGTTGATGGTTGAACTAGATGATACTGAAGGTCTTCTCCTACCTAGCTGATCCTGTGATTCTTCAGTTCAACTAATTTTGTAGAAGTGAGTGGAAAGCGTAGAGCTAAAACTCTGACTTCCACACAAGTAGGAAAGAGAGCAGCTTGCTGGGACGGAGAGCCGGGGGTAGCTGGAGGAAGGGAAGTTTAACGTAGCTCAGCAGCTGGATTAATTCATCTTATGATGTCCTCGTAAAGGGAACAACTCAACATCCTTGGGTACAGCTATAATAAAGGTGGCCAGGACAGTTAGCTTAGCGTCAAGAGAGACCTGCACTAAGTTGCTCAAGGTACCTAGAGCCTTGGTTAAATTTGTTGCCTATGGAAAATGTGCATGGAACGGAGGTGGTTGGATGTACATCCACCACACTGCACCTGTACAGTGTAAGGGACTTCACCTTCATGACCACATCGAGCCTGCTTAAGGGCTCTTGAAGATCTCATTGTGTTTGAAAGGCCTTAAATATCGTGCTGAATTGTCAAAAGACAAAGGTAATGGGATTTTGAATGGGGATTGTGTGGGTTAGGCACCTAATTCCTATTAAATGCCTGTAATTTACTCGGGGTTCAAACGCACACTGCCGGGTACTACAGCCCGACAAGTCGCTGCACATCCCCGGAGCCACACGAACCATCTTTATGCATTCCCTTGGCCCGTGGCAAACAGCAGAGGAACAAATTAGGCTTTTAGCCTTCCTTTACCGTGGGCTAGATTAAGGCAAATGATCTCGCACATGCCGTGAGTTAAAAGCGTGTGTGTGTACGCTGTAAATGCCTGTGTGTCCGCACGGTTACCTGCTGTTGTAGTTCTGCTACGTGCCCACCTGTACCTTTGAAGACTTCCTGCCCTAGCAAATCTCTCCCTCCCCAAACGAGCTTGCCTGTGGTCACGGAAAGTTTGGATGCAGAAATGGGAGTGTTCCTACTTTCCCGTTGGGTGTCTGATGGTGGCAGCTGCAGGAGGATGGAGTGCAAGCCTTAGATGGCTTAACAAACAGGATTTCTCCTATGCGATCTTATAAAATGATTGCAGCTCCCCTTATCGACCTCTTCTGTCCTGAAACCTTACAAGGAGCAAGCGTTACCGCAGCCCGTTGCTGGCACAACTGCTTATTAATACCAAAGCCTCTCCTAAGTTTGCATTTTTATTATATGACCTTTTCCTCCAAGCAGTGAGTTTTTAACCGAGCGATAGCAAATTGCAGCTGAGGAAAGTAGATAGAAAATGCAAAATCGCTCTAGAGTATGTAGCTCTTTAATCACATTCCTGCATTCAGTAAAAGTAATGACATTTCTTGTTTATATTTGTAATCAGCAGAGGCAACTGACTGTGATGAGAAGCCGGACATTTCTTTACTACAGACAGGTAAAATGCATTAAAATTTTTATCAGCTTCCAATGTTTGTGTTTGTTTATTGTGCATAAGCAGTTTGCAGTAATCCTGCCGTGCCATCTACATTCGGGTAATTGCACACGGGACCCAGCCATCTACGTTTTGAACGCCCCGTATTAAAAAAACAAATGCACCAGAATCTTAAAATTTCCTCCTCTATTTCATATTCATAAAACCTCAAGGTTCGTGGCAGCAACCAAGCTAATAAGGCCAGTAAGTCACCCTTCTTATCCCAAACAGGATCTTGTGCTCATCCCTTGTATTTCTGGGAGTTTTGGGGGTTCTGAACAGTGTTACTGGTAGGGACAGACTCAGTGATTCCTATTGTACTGTCTGTTCAGTTGGGCAAGGCAGTAGCAATAAGATCTTGGGTTTACAGAAAGACTGCATGCGATATGCATATGTTATGATAGCTAAGTGTTGTTTTACTTTCTCTGGGAGTGCAGGCACCTTGCCTCAAAGCCTGGCAATTGTTAAATAGCAATGTGGCTGTGCAGTGAGGGGGCCAGGAAATACATTTGTTGTGTGCTGTTGCACATCGTGTTAAAATCGAGATAGGCTGAGAGTGAATTCTGAAACACCCTCTCGTTAAGAGTTCATTTAATAACTGCCCTGGTGTTCGGAACAGAGTTCCCATCCTCCCAAAACTGTGTGGAGCCAGAGTGTGGGGAGACAGCTGTAATTTCCCCTGTAATTTCACAAGGATGCAGCCTAACACCGCCGAAACCAAAGGAAAAGGAGGGATGAGCCGCCACCGCTGCGTGCTGGGGGCCAGAGCAGCAGCCGCCAGCCGCCCAGTTGAAATCCTGCTGTCAGAGCACGTGCAGTTACCAAGGAATAGGAGCAGTGATGCAGCGGCGAGGACAAGCAGCTACAGTCTGGTTCTGGCAGGGACCCAGCGGGGGCTGGGAGCACACGCTCGCCGGGAGCTGCCGTGCTGCTTTCTTGGCCAGTTGGTGAATATTTCAGGGCCTTGTTGTGATAACGGGCGCAGGAAGCTCTGCTTTGAGAGGTCTCTTCCAAGGGACATCCTGTTTGCTTCCTTTATCAGCGCGGGAAGCAATTCCATCAAAAGAGGGCTCTAATAAAGCTCACTAATGCTGTGCAACATTATCTTTGCATTGCTGGAGTAATCGTATGACGGCACAGAGTCACTGGATTTTCCGCAGCTGCTTCTCGCCCCTCGTGCTAGCGATGGAAACGAGCGAGATGGTCATGGCAGAGAACCCAACTCCCCGGCCACCCTGCAAACAAATCACCACCAGCGCGGTCTGATCACATCCGCACATGCACACGCTTCTCCAGCTGAAATGTTTTTTTGCATTTCTCCGTACTACGCGGGGAAGGACGCCTGGATAAACCACGGTGCGATGTGCATCGGTGGGGGAGGCGATGCTGGCGGGCCGCACGCCAAGCCTTTGACTCACACCCATTATTATGTGCGCGTGCGAGTGCCTCTTCGTAGGACGTATCAATGCAACATCGCACTGCTCTTGGAAGCGAGTGATTTAAAGTGATATACAGACAGCCTAATGACAGTAATTACGATGGAGAGCCAAAATACAGATGCTTGCTATCGAGGAGTGCCGCAAAAGAGGTGGGACGGAACTTTGATGGAGGTCTTTCCCTGCCTTAGCACAGCTGCTTTGATAGGGGGTGTTGCTGACAGGGAGCTTTAGCGGGCCGTATTCGGCTGTCTTCTCTCTGTTTAGCTTGAAATTTCAGCGGGGAAGAGCCTCGCTGATGGTGTTTGTGCAGTGCCTGGTGTGGGGGGCCTCCCTCGCTCATAGGAGACAGATCAGGAGCGATCAGTGGTTGGCGTGGGGTGGCAATGGGGTGAAATCGGGCTGGATCAGGTCGCTTGAGCCATTTGTGATGAACATCAGGTGGTTGCTCTCTTGGTCTTCACGAACTGAACAAATTTCAGAAGTGAAAGCTCAGTTAAATCAATGGTAAGCGTTGGTGCAAAAAAAAGGAGAACTGAGATTTCTCCAACCTGCCTTTTCTGCTCAGTCAGGGCTACCTGTGACCCCGCTGAGGTTATAAACGCGATCCGGGGATGCGTGGGCTCTTGGTGCTGCGGTTCTTCAACCCACACGTTTTCAGATCACAGCCTGTGGAGGGCTGGCATTTCAGCTGAGACACCTCCGTTGGGAGCGTGCTTGCTCCCAGCTCTCTTCACAGTTGATAGGAGAAGGAATAAGTTCAGATCAGCTACGTTCAAGGTTGGAGAAGCCTGATCTTTGGTGCCAGGACTGCTCTGAATGCGGCTCATTTACATAGGTGCCTCCAGCCAGGTTTGAATCTGCTCCTTCTGGGCCCACAAGCAGCTAAATCCTGGTCTCCGGGGAGAAAAGAGGTGTTTTCTTTCCAAAACCCTCCTTTGCAACTCAAAAGCCTTGTAAAAAAAAATGTAGCTGGTACATTCTCCTAAAACTAAGGGAGATGTTTTTGCCCAATTATATTTTAGCACTTCAGAGCAAGAATCGTGCTCCCGTTTTAAAATCACCCGAGATGCTGAGAGTGCCTGCGCTCTGAAGGCTGATGATTGAAGGGTGTTTAAAGAAAATTGGAAGAACTGTAGCAGTTAAACTTGCTGGGAACTTTGGCAGAATAACAGATAAAGCTCACGAAAATGCTAGAAGAGTTGTCTCTGACAAACCCTAGGAAAGCTCAGGACTCCGATAGCTCCAGCTTCTGCACGTGCTAACGCGGGCTGCTGCTTAAGCTGAAGTCTGTGTCCAGAGCTGAGCTGAGACAGATCAGACAGCTCCCAGGCTAATTACTGTGGAGTGGCTGGAAGGACTGATTAGCTTCTCGTTGATGTGGGAACCTGCAAGGTGTGGGATATGTCTTTATCGGGATGAAGACGTGGCAGCTTTTGGAGTCTTCCCGTATGAGTTGGCGTTGCAGAAAAGCTCGTTTCAGTTTGGTCTACGGTTTATATAAAGCATCTGGATATTTTTTAAATATAACCCATAAGTTCTGCACATGGAAACAAATTTAAGACAGCTGCAACACCCTTCTTGTGCATCCTCATCTTGTAAATCACGTGGAAGATACGCGCAGCCCAGGGCAGGAGGGAGCCCTCCTCATACCTGTGCTTTGGACCACAGCTGGGCTGAAGGTTTCATACAGTTTCTCCGGGGCTAATTTTGAGGTGTGAAAGGATTTTGATATCCCTAAAAGAAGCAGAATCAGTGACATCCCAATCCTCGGGTCCAGGGGTGATACGGCTTTGTCGGGAGATGAGAGCAATCTCTTTGGGAAGAAACCAGTGATAAGAAAACAGCAACGAGCCGATTCTGTACAGGTTGTCTCCTTTTCTCTCCAAACACAACATCAAGAAAACGAAACTTCAAAAAAAAAAAAAAAGACCCTTTTCGAAACCTGAAATATAAATCCTTTATTGTAATATAAATCTTTATCCTTTCAGTGCCTGATTGTGAGCCTTCCCTTTTCATTGGGTTGCATTTGCCTTCTGCACTGATTGATGTCTGTCTCCTATTTGCCCTGTGTTCTTAGCGCTGTCGTTGTAATTCTTCTGTCCATCTTTCATTGTGCTGTTTAGAAAAAAACACCTCCTTAAAGTGGCTTACAAAGACGGGATATAATCATCCGGCATACCTCTGTTTTTTTGTTGTTCATTTTTTATTATGCCGTATGCATTTAGACTGCTGTGGAGTGGGTTTTTTTCCCCCCCTCCCCATTTGTTTTTTTTTTTTTTTTTTCTAAAGAACATCCAGAAATACACACTCTGGGTTTCAAATTCACGGGGTGCTTTTTTCACTTCTTCAGAAACGCGGCTTCAAAGTGGGAAGCAGCGCGGAGCAGTTTGTGCCTAGCGCGGCGCTTCACATCTCAAGTGGGGCGTCCTTCCTTTTCGGTGAAAAACTTTGCTCACAAATTCAGCATTAATAAAAATAAATCCATTTAATTTGCTTTCTTTAGCTGGTCGGGCTCTACCCTAGATGGGTTTCAGCAGCTGCTGTCTGCACGTACACCAACAGTTCGGCCCCATCACAAATTAGAATTAGAATCTAAATATATAATTTCCAGCTTTTTGTTTTTTTTAACAGAGGACTGAGCTGATTTCTTAAAAACGTTACTTCCTTTTAGCCTAATTTCATTTCTTAAAAACGTTTTCCTTTTAAACTGATTTCCTCCAACTCTTCTTCCTCCAGGTAACCTTTTCGACACCACAACGGATGCTCTGATCGATGCACACCCAGATTTTTCTGTTTAACCTCCACGCCGGTGACGGTAGCGGTTCTAAAACATCCTCTCCTTCGGGGAACATTCCTGCAAGATCGGCGCGAGACCTTCAGCCTCCTGCGGGACGTGGGCGTCCGTGCAGCTTTCCCTTCGAGTTTGTGTTGTTCCACGCGTTTTCCGTGAACCCTCAAGCCACGAAACCACCAGGTCGTTTCGCCGGTTCTCATCTTAATTAAAGATGATTGCCCTCCGTATTCTAACCCATTATTTAATTAGGATGGTAGCCACTCTACCTGAAGACGCTCTCTTGCCTTTGTTTTTCCCTTTGCCGTTGTACTTTCCCACATGGTTGTGTGCTCGTGTTTCATCTTAAGCTATGCAGAGGTGGATGAACACAGCTGGATGACTTCCCCTCCATGGGGACCATGGTGGCATCTCTCCTTCCCGAACCCAGGGGGCTCGATGAGTGTTTGAAGTGTCCTGCTCTTGTTCTTCTGCAGACCCACTTTTCCTTTCCTGGCTGCTGCTTCTCTATTTTAGAGACCCGTAGTGCAAATAGCCAGTCGTACACAGCTATAATTGAAAGGTCCTGGCTGGATCTAGCAGGGAAAAGAGCAGGATTCCTACCAGCAGCGCCCATTTCTGCACACGTAGCAGGGAGAAGCTGTTCCTCGAGCAAGCTGGAGATGCCCTGTGTGGTCCTCTCGAGCACGCTCTCCTTGCTTTCCCTACCACCTCAGTCTCACAATGGCTTAGTTTGCTGATTTCCAGGGCAAGGGTCTGCACACTGTGATTTCGCGACCACTGCCCTTGGGGACAATATTTAAAATAAATTTTAAAAAGTCCCCTTTTGACCCGCACTCTATTGATGGCTCGGCAGTTAAGATGAGTGAATTGATCAAGGAATTCACCCTCTTAGAGGCAGAAAGCATCGGTCCTTTCAGGTCAGGGCTAAGGGAAAATCGTACGCGGCCCTCCTGCGTGCAAACTGCCACTTCTGCACCTTTCAACAGCACTAAATTCACTTTAAGAAACATAGGGGAAAAGTTTAAAAGTCTCGAAGGTCTTACCTGCAGCACCTATCGATCAGCAGAGAGTTTGAGTGGGCTTCCTGCCATTCGAGGGAGAGATTGCTAGAGCCTTCACCATTGTGTTTCGTTTTCCTTTGTGTATTTTAGGTGCATCTTCCCCCCCCTTTGACACTATTTGGCCTTTGAGTGTTTCAACTGAAGTGCTATTACCGAGTGGGATTTTTTTTTTTTATTTTTTCAAAGTATTTAAAGATTTCTTTCTGGTTTAAAACCCCTGAAGCCTGTTTCTGGGAAGCTGTCGAACACCCGCAGGGGTGGCCTGTTCCCCCAGCACCCGAGAAATCAGGCTGCCAGCCCTCCCCACCCGCCAGCGATGTGCTTTTAGGAATGACCGTGTCTTCTGGAAAACTGTGGAATATATTGAATGTGCACTGCGAACCTTAAGAAAAAAGAAAAAAAAAAAAAACAGAGTCTTTCCTTCCTTCATGGCTTGGAGTTGTCTGCATAGGGCGGGGGCAGCCATGCCCCCACGCCGTGTGTCCGTATCGTAACACTTCAGCGATGGAATCAGCGTTTTTGTAAATTTTGAAGATTGCGTTGGTGTTTACTTACTGTGACTACTGTTCAGACTTTCTTCAGAAATCTTTTTATAGGGTTTATTAGAAAAAAAAAAAAAAAAAAGAAGAAAATCATTCCATATTTAGGTAAAAACGTCTCAATCTTCTGTATATATGTTTTATTAATATGTAAATATTTAGATATTTTTAAATGACTATGTTCTTAATAAAGCGAGAAGGGACTAGTTGTGATATGGTGTATAACATTGTGTCGTGTTACCGATCTCTGGGAAACCCTCTTTGTCAGTCCAGAAAAAGAAAACCTACAATAAATAACTTTAATTGAACGTGCCTTCCTGTGTTCTGTGCTGGGTTGCTGTGTTTCAGGGGAATTACCTGGCAGTTTGTGGACCGGGTAGGGAAATGTACAGAAAACCCTAAAAGTTGCTGCCACGATGCTGTTTGTCTGATGGAAACGATCCTGCCCTGGCCGTCAGAACAATGGCCATGGCCAATCGCGTAATAACCCTCGAGTATTAAGTGCTGATATGCTTGAAGTCTAATTTTAATTGAATTAGGTGCCTTTATAATCTTCGCTTAAAAGGTTAAGCTCTGCTTCTATGGAAACAACACGCAGGGAGGGCAAACCCAACATCCATAATTTGGAGTGGCCGCGCAGAAATACGCCCGGTCATTTATTATCGCACCCTCGTCGAGCGTTGGTTAGCCTCGGAAAATGTTCCCTGCAAACACACGCTCCTGGGAACCTCCAGCCGATGAGAAATGAGGAAAAGCACCTCCACACACCCTGGCTGCTTTCTGCGGGCAGTAGCTGGTGGTGAAAAGCCCTGCCATGGTTTTGTTTCCCCTGCGGTGGTTGCACGGAGCCTCGGCGGGCATCGTGCGAGCCAGCTGGGTCCTCATCCATCGCCGCGAGCTGGGAGAGCTCCACCTGAGTCTGAATTGGCTCCGGATCCGAGTGCAAGTCGTCATTCCTACAAATAATGCTCACTCAACTTGGTGGAACGAATTCATCCCTCGCTGAGCGGTGATTTTCACCCTCCTGCTCCATGCTGCGAGTCCTCCTCGTGCGGGTTGATTTTGCTTGATTTTTTTAATCCCGGGGCAGGTTAACGCAGCTTTATGATAGGATCAGGGACAAGGAATGTCACCGCGTGCCAGGAAATTCAATGTATCAGAGGCCGTGGCAAGGATGCTGCAGGGATGCCCCAGGACTTTGCGCCGTGCGTCCCGCCGCCCTATTTACGGGACGCCGGCGACGAATTCCTCGGGTGAAAAAAAAAAATCCTTCTGAAGCTGAACAGGAAAAGGATATCCTCGCAGCGACATGAAAGGAAACAGGAGCCCGGGCTTTATAAAAAATGCATTAGTTGCGAGGCAAGAAGAAAGTCATCTGAAGCCTGTGTGACACGTTGGTTGGGAAGCGGCTGGCAGAGGGAGCGCGCCGCCACGCCGCCGGGTTTTTGGGGGACCGGCGGCCCCGACAGATCCCACCCTGGAGCTGTCGGTGGGAAGACAAAGCCCTACAAAGTTCCACATCATCATGGCAAAGAGGAGGCACGGCCCCAGGAAAACCCCAGGGCTGATGACGGGCAGCTGGGGTGTCCGACCCCACTGCCACATCCCCCTAAAGGCACAGCCCCAGCTGATATTTCACCAAACTGAGCAAAACCAACCATTCTCCCCAAAATCCCACATAAATTGAGCGCCTTCACCCCCTCCCCACCACCGGCTGCGTCACGGAGAGGCAGGCAAGGAGTCCCTACAAGTAGGTCAGCTACGATTTCTCATCCGACAGAAGCTAATAAAAGGCACCGATGTGAAACCTATAACATTATGGGGATAAATAATTTAGCTCGGTTGTGTAAACATTGATTCTGGGTTAAAAAAAAATAAAGAAAGAATGGATTCCATCAGCTCTTCCCCCTCCCCTGCGTGCGTGCGAGGTTATGTGTGACATAACGGGGGCAGCAAATAATTTGGGGAATTTGGATGCCGGGGAGATGCCCCCAACGTGTTTTTGCGTCGGGTCCTCCCTTCAGCCAGGCCTTCACAGAGGGGTCAGACGAGCAGGGGAGCTAATTACGAACAAAGACATCGTTTGTGTCTTGTAATTGCAGGTTTCCATTGCCCGGAGGGCTGGTGCTAAGAGAGGAGGCTGCGTTTTGTACCCCATGTCCTCCCCTCTGCTCTCCTCTCCTCCTTTTGCAGACACATCACCCGGGAGACATCCCCAAAACGCCTCGCACACAGCGGTGCTCCTGTCCTGCAGCATCTCCGGAGGCACTGGGCTAAGAAAACGTGGGCAGGAGGGGGACGAGGGGAGCTCTGTGTGTCCGGGGACCTTGTGGTGTCCACCACGAGCCCATGCAAAGACCCCAGCAACTTACTGCTCCCCAATAAGTTCCCTTTTCCAACCCATTCACGTGCATTTAGAGCCCGACTCCACCCCACGGGGTTTTTGGCTGGTGGGGATGGAGATAATGCTCATGGATGTCCAGCAAGCCCCGTCCTGCCACCCCAAATCCAGATTTTCTGCCCCATTTGCAGACACCAGGGTGGAGGCAGCGATGCCCCCACTGAGACCCCAAAGTGTGAGTGGGATCAGAGCAAGGATGCTGAGCCTGATTGATTCACCCCTTCCCAGGCTGTAGGGTTTTCCTGCAAGCCAGCACCCACCCTAAAAAAACACTGCTGGATGCTTCCTCCAGCAGAAAATCTCCTCCAGCTGGTGATTGCTTTCCTCTTGCTGATACGCAGGTGGAAAGTCCGGGTTTATGGCACGGGGGGGTTGCCCTTCCTGCTCTGCATCAAGGCACCGCGTTTCTTCCTGGGGTTGTCAGAAAAAATATAGAAATAAAATAGAAATAAAAATAAAAATCCTGGAAATAAAGACTCAAACAGCAAAATTTCCTGCCCGGGATGGGAGGCGGTGGGCACCTCGCACCAAGAAGGCGCTGGGCGACCTTGGGCCACCCGGCTTCTCCTCCGTCCTTCGCCATCCGTGGGAGGAAGGATGAGGCCAGAGGCAGAAGGAAACCTCTCCGCTCCCCCCTCCGAGGCTCCCAGGTGCAAAGGTTAATGCACGCCAGGGTTTTGCCGGGGAACCCAGACAGAAATTGCTCTTCAGCTATTGCCATCTTGTGGCGCCCGTGACCTGCTGCCTGCTCCTCTCCTCTGCTAATGGTGCCGGCAGCGCGCACGGGCGATTTCAGCAGCGCGATGTAAATGAAGCGGAGATGCCTACGGAGGAGCCATTAGCATAAATCCAATCAAAGGGCTTTGTTTAACTTGTTAAAAATGACTAAATATTTAGTGAGCGTGGGTGGGCGAGGTGATTCCTGCTCGCACTCGGCGGGTTGTAGAAGCACGGCTCTCTCCGCCGCCTTAAATGCCTGAACTTGGAGGCGATTTTCCACCCTGGACTCTGCCTCCTTGCTGGTAACTCACAGAAATATCGCTGCGAATGCGAGGAGGCCGACTCCAAAACGGGATCTTTGCTTCTCAGAGCAGCCCAAAGGCGTTGGGGCCGTGTCCTGCCCACCGCAGGGGTCCTGCAGCACCACGGCTTGTGCCCATTGGCTTCACCAAGGGCAAGAGCTGCTCCGGTGACAGCAATTTGGGCCCAAATTGGGGAGATTTCTTCATCCTGGTTGTAGCTGTGGAGGCTCAGGAGGTGCACACAGGGCTGAGGCTGTGCTGGATTGAGTGGCGTAAGCAGAACCCGTGCTCCTCTGCCCTCGTCCACCCCATGGACCACTGGGGTCCGCTCCTCGCCTCCAGAAGTGCCACCAGCTTTGGACAGCCACCAACAGCAGGAATAAAAACATTTGGTTGAGCATGGGGCTGCTCCCTGACCTTATTTATTTATTGCAGTTTACACTGCAAACGTGATATAATAATAATAATAAATAATAATAATAAATGATAAACTGAGAAAAGAAAAAAGACAAAGACAATGAAGCAGAAGGAGAAGAAGAAGAAAAGAAGAAGAAGAAGAAGAAGAAGAAGAAGAAGAAGAAGAAGAAGAAGAAGAAGAAGAAGAAGAAGAAGAAGAAGAAGAAGAAGAAGAAGAAGAAGAAGGAGGAGGAGGAGGAGGACAAGGAGGAGAAGGAAGAGGAAGAGGAGCTGGAGGAGAAGGAGAAAGAGAAGAAGAGAAGAGAAGGAGAAGGAGAAGGAGAAGGAGAAGGAGAAGGAGAAGGAGAAGGAGAAGGAGAAGGAGAAGGAGAAGGAGAAGGAGAAGGAGAAGGAGAAGGAGAAGGAGAAGGAGAAGGAGAAGGAGAAGGAGAAGGAGAAGGAGAAGGAGAAGGAGAAGGAGAAGGAGAAGGAGAAGGAGAAGGAGAAGGAGAAGGAGAAGGAGAAGGAGAAGGAGGGCAATGCCAGCCTTTTGGAGCAGCCGCTCTTCCCGCAGGTTTGCTCTCCCGCACGGAGATCTCACTCGATGGATTTTGTTTAGCGAGGGTGTTAATTGCATTGCTGGAAATCAAAGCACCTGTCCCTGCCGTCGCCACCGCTGGGAGTTTTTCGTGTTTCCTGCCCCATGGGGTCCTGCAAAGGCAGCAGAGAGGGTTATTTAGTGCCAAACCCGGGCGTGGGCAGGAGAAAATGCACCCAGAGGGTGCTGCAGCGGAGAGAAAAGGGGGCAAGTGGGTGCCCGACAAATAGATGGAGGCATAGGAGAATTTAGTGGCGTGGTCTGTGCCTTCCCTGAGTGTTTTGGTGTTTGTTTGTTAATGCTGGAGAAAAATAGATCCTATAAAAGAAATCAGCAAATCCTGCTGCCTCCTGACCTTGCAAACAGCAGCACCCAAAGCAAGCGGGTGCTGCTGTTTGCCAGGGGGAAGGAGGGGTGAGCGTGGCCCGGTGTGAGGCTCCAGGTCGCAACAGGGAAGCAGGGGAAGAAGCAGGTGGGAGCCTAGAGGCAGAACTGCACTGGCCTAGTGCATTTTAGGAGAGATTATGGAGGGCCATCCCTCGCTGCCTGGCTCTTTGTACAAACCCCGTGACACCCAGGCGAATAAACAGGAGGAAAACAGGAGCTGAAGGCTCCCCTGGTGCTTTTCAGGGCCAACACGCGCGGCAGCGAGGCATGAAACGCCCCAGAAGAAGCGAGGAAGAGACGGGAGCTGCAAGGGCACATCTTCACAGCAAGGCTTGGAGCGGCTTTTGAGGATTTCCCCTCTGGGGGACAGATGTTATCTGCGTGGATGGGCCCATGTCTCGTACCAGCAGGAAACAGGAACCCACTTATGGGACCCCCAGGGCTGCTCGGGGGCAGCATCACCCCCTGCTTCAGCCCCCAGCTCTGGTCCAAAAAAAAAAAAAAAAAGGGAAAAAAAATGCATAAAAGCTGCTGGGCGGGCAGCGTTCCGTTTGGATTTTGCACAGACTTCTGATAAAATCCCCCATCAGAGCCCATTAAAGCGCCTTATCGGAGGTGAACGGGGCAAAGTCCCCGTTTGGCGACGGGAAACAAAGAGGTAAGGAACATCTGCTCCTCGGGGCACGGAGGGGGAAGCACTGAGGCACAGAGGAGGCCACTGCTGGCATCGTTACTAATTAATGCCGTCCGCGTGTTAACGAGAGGCAGGGAGACGACAGCGAGGGAAGGGGGGCTGAGAACAGCACAAACCGGGGTCGCTTTGTCGAAGCGGGACGCTGCGTTGAGAAATGGGTGCTGCAGGATGAGAAATGAAGTCAGAGCAACACGGTTAAAGCTCCTGCAGCAAGAAAACACGGCGTTTCCACCGCAGACTGGGAGAAGAGTTAAGATACGAGGCCGTAACTCTGTCAGCGTTAAGTAAAGGCATGTGTTTAGCCCCACACGTCAGTGGAAGAAGTCATCTCGACGCACCGAGCTCAATATTCAGCACCATCAGGGCTGAATCAGCTGGTTGGATTTTACCAGCGACGGGAATCCTGAAATGGAAACGAATTTTCCCAGCAGTGGGGATTCGGGACTGGAAATCAATAAATAAAGTCACTTTGCGTTGCCATTCCTTGCTTATTTCTTTAATCAGCTCTGCTTTATCACGCCTCCGTGACGCCGCCGCTTCTCCCTTCGACACCTTGCCATGGGAAGCTTGTGGGGATTAAAAACAAAAAACAAAACCCCTTCTGCTGACGTTTAAAAAACAGAAAGGGGAGATCACAAGCTGAATCTGACAGGCTCTGGAGTAGCAGAACCAAACCTGCCGCCTGCATCACCAGGCCCATCGCTCTGATTTAGCTTTGGCCACAGAAATTTGAGCAGCTCCAGCCCTGGCCGCACCTGTAAAGGTGAAGGCCGCCTGCTGTCTGCTCACGGTGTAGGAGCAGCGGGCTTTGATGTGACAGCGCCGTCAGGCAGCACCCCGGGGCATGCACTGAGGGCTCTTTATCTCTTTTTGTATTTTTTTTCCTGTTTTTTTCCACTTCCGAAGGTGTGCGGAGCAGACCGTTCTCATGGCGCTGGACCAAACCGCTGCAGATCGGGGGATTTCTGCGGAACTGCAAGCCAGACAGCAAATAAAAGCCTTTAAAAGAGGGGAAAAAAAAAGCCATTCAATCCTTTTTATTTATTTATTCATTTGTTTGTTGAGTTCTAGAACACCATTATTTAAAAAATTCCAGGCAGGAGGCTGCCATTCACATCCCTGTCCTGCACCATCCTGTGCCCCATTTTCCCTCTCCTCACCCCAAAACCCGGCCATCCCCAAACAGAACGTGGGGCGTGGGGTGGTGTCACCGGGCCTCTCCACCTTGGGGTAAATTTGGGTGTATTCAGGTTTTCTTTTTCTTGTGTGGCCACCTGGAATCTCATTATTATTATTTTTTTTTCCCTGCTCTATTAAAGAAATAAATGTTCAACCCTTGTGAGAAAAATGGGAATGGGATTCAGTTCCTCCATCCCCTACAAAGAAATCAGAAGCGAAAAAAATCTGTAAGTCAGGGCTTTAAAATCTACAGAGTTCCTTGTTTTATTTTTTTTTCTGTATGTTTCATATTTTTTAAAAAAATGAGATGGAGTGACAGAGGCAATAAGGAAAAGCTTGAGGAACTTTAGGTTGGTGCTCCCAATTACGGCCCCACAAGGCACTTAGGGGCAACTTTTTAGACTGAAATCATCCACCACGGGGCACGCAGACAGCACATGGAAGCAGCCTCCAGCATTTCAGCTCAGGTGGCTGTCAGAAAAGATCCTGAGATCCTCTGATGGCCTCACCGGAGCCTGACATCACCGAAGCGTCAAGGTTGGAGAAGACCTCCGAGATGGTCGGGAGGGAGAAATCAGTGAATTTACACAAATATTGGTGGTCTCCAAAAGGTGCTCGGTGTCTCCACTCTTCTGGTCTTCAGGGTCATGGTCCAGGGGTGCTGTGTTTGATTGGAGATTAAAAAAAAAAAAAAGAGTAATTAAAAGCCAGGCGAGAAAAGCAGGGCTTTAATTTCCTCCTCTGTTTAATTTGAAGCCGGACGTTTTCAAAGAGAGTTGCACAAAAGGCAGCCTGCGAATTAAACCATCTTTGAATTAACGGGCAATTACTTAATTAGGTATTTAGCTGCAAACTGCAAGAAATAAGCTAATTTTTTAAAAAATAAATATATTCTGCAGTGTAACGGTGGGCCCTACGCTACCTGTATCTCCCTTGCCTCAGCAGAAAACTCGCCTGGTGTGAGAAGTGAGACAGATTCTGGGGGGAAATCAGGCAAAAGAACCAAATTTTGAGGGAAAATCATGCCAGAAAGGCAAGTTTTGAGGGAAAATCATGCAAGGGATCCAAATTTTGAGGGAAAATCTTGAAAGAGAGCCCAATTTTTGAGGGAAAATCTTGAAAGAGAGCCCAATTTTAAGGAAAAGTCATGAAAAAGAGGCAAATTTTGAGGGTAAATCATGCAAGAGAACCCAATTTTGTTGGAAAATCATGCCAAGGAGGCAAATTTGGAGAGAAAATCATGGCAGAGAGACAATTTTTGAGGGAAAATCATGCCAGAGAGCCAAATTTTGACGGCAAATTGTGCAAGAGAACTTAATTTTGAGGGAAAATTGTGCAAGAGAACCCAGTTTTGAGGGAAAATCATGCCAGAGAGGGAAATTTTGAGGGAAAATCATGGCAGAGAGCCCAATTTGGGGGGGGGGAATCATGCAAGAGAGCTCAATTTTGAGGGAAAATAATGAAAAAGAGGCAAATTTTGAGGGAAAATCATGCAAGAGAGACCAATTTTGAGGGAAAATTGTGAAAAAGAGGCAACTTTTGAGGGAAAGTCATGCAAAAGAGCCCAATTCTGAGGGAAAATCATGAAGAAGGGATGAACTTTGAGGGAAAGTCATGCCAAAGAGCCCAATTTTGAGGGAAAATCATGCAGGAGAACCCAATTTTGAGGAAAAGCCACGAAAAAAGAGGCAACTTTTGAAGGAAAACCATGCAAGAGAGGCAACTTTTGAGGGAAAAATCATACAAGCGAGCCCAATTTGGGGGGAGAAGCACTGAAATTTTTATTTCACAGATTGGGAAAAGGGGTTTTTGGGGGCGAGAGAACGCCTTCGAGACACAGCAGCAGCGCTGCAGCCGGGGGGCGCGCAAACACCCTCGGGCCTCGTTGCCGCGCGGGCCGCCGTTGCAGCCCGGCCCCGGGGCGCGGTTGCACCGCCGGGAGCGCGCGCGCGCGCGCGCGCGGGAGCGGAGCGCGCGGCGCGGGGCGGGGGGCGCGCGCGCGGCGTGGGCGGGGCGACGGGAACGGGGAGGGGGGGGGAGGTTTAACCCCTTCGGTGCCGGCGGGTGGCGGAACGCGGCGGCGGCTTCTGTTCTGCTCAGGCGGCGCCGAGGGAGCCCCGCCGCGCCCGGTGCATTGTGGGACTGGGCCGGGAGCCCCGTTCGCGGGAGGAGGCGGAGGGCGAGGAGGCGAAGCCGGTGAGGGGGAGACCCGAGGAGGGAGGGAAGGGGAAGGGGGGGGGGGGGTTAAAGGGGAAATCGCCTCACGCTGGAAACGGGAGGGGGGGGTGGGGGGGGGGGCTAGGGGGGCGCTTCGGCTTCGGGCTCCCCGCCGGCCTCGTTCCTTCCTTCCCCCCCCCCCCCTCCCCTCACGGGGTCAGGACTCGGGAGAAGGGAGGAGAAAGGCGAGGGGGAGGAGGAGGAGGGCGAGCGCCGCGCCGCTTTAAAAATAAATAAATAAAATATATAAAAAAAAAAAAAAAAGGAAAAAACCCGCCCCGCGCCGGCAGCGAAAGGGTTAAACCGGCGGTTTTGTGTTCTTTTTTTTTTTTTTTTCCTCTCTCTTCCCCCCCCCCCCTCCTCCTCCCGCCCGCCGCCGCCGCCATTTTGTTTCCTGAGGGGAGGGGAAGGGGGGGGGGGGGGGGGGGAGGCGGGAGCGCGCCTGAGGCGCTGAGGGGGAATGTGGGGGGGGTGGGAGGCTTACCTACACCGCGCCTCCTCCTCATCTTCCTCCTCCTCCTCACCTTCATCATCATCATCATCCACATCACCCTCCTCCTCCTCTTCCCTCACACGCGGCCCCGTGCCCGCTCTGTGGAGGCGGAGAGGGGCGCCCCCATGCAGGGCGGCTGCTGCTCGTCCTCCTCATCCTCCTCCTCATCATCTTCCTCCTCCTTTTCCTCATCTTCCTCCTCCTCCTCTTCCTCCCCTCAGAGGCCGAAGGCACCAACCGGCCGCTGAAGGTGTCCCAGAGCCACCGTTTGAGTCCCTCCCCCCCTCCCCATCCCTCAGCTCAAGGGTGAAACTTGATTATTATTATTATCATTATTATTATTTATTTTTTGTTATTATTTTTATTATTTTTTATTTATTTGACTATTTATCACGTCGCTCCCTTAAAGCAAGGGTCGGGAGGTGCTCGCTGCCGCCAGGACCCGCCGCCCCGGCAGGCTGCGGGGCGCTGCTGCGCGCTCTGCTCAAACCTTCATTAAATTAATTTATTTTTTTTAAACAAAAAACAGCGACTGTCCTCTCTCAGTGGGTGTTTCCCATTAAATCAAGGCGTCCCGGCTCCTTTCAGCCTTTCTTCTTGGAGCAGGGAGCTTGGCTGGCTGTGCCTCGGGGTCCTGCAGGCTGAAACTAAAAGTGCTAAAAAGTGCTAAAACCCCAAAAAAACCCTCCTCACAAAGCTTTTGTCTCCCCTCTCTGCTGACAGGTTCCTTCCCAGCCTCTATCTTTCTTCCTTTTCTTATTGTTTTGTTGTTTTTTATTGGATGGCGAGTGCTTTAGTGGCTCACGTTGGAAGGCGACAGCTCCGGACCGGGTTCATTGCTCATCCAAGACACGTTCCTGGAGCTGGAGGTTGGATCTCTGCCCGCGCCTGGGCTTGGGGAGATTTGGGTTTAAACAAGCGACACGCCTCCCCGCCAGGAGGGAGAGCGCCGGACAGGGGAGCTGGGCTCCCTATCACAGCGAGCTTCCAGCTCCGATGCGTACACAATACATCCAGCAAATTAGCAGGCTGAGATGTTCTGATAAACTTGGCATAACTGCTAACAAGTGTTGGACAGGGCGGATGGGTCGCACAGCCCCATAGATTCACTTCTTTCTCTATTTTGTGCTGTTCAATGTACTCAACGCCAGCCACTTATCATCTTCTTTTTCGTTTTTCTAACTTCCCAGCTTAACCTCCTGCCAGCTTCGGGCACACTGCTTTCTTATTTGTCGTTTTCTCTCGTGGCAGGACCCTTGCTTTCTAAGAAACCGCCGCGTATGGGTCATTTTTAGTAACTCCTGCAAGCTTTTTTTCCTCCGAGGAAGACAAACTGCATTGTAGCACGGCCAGCCCTGTTTAGAAGGCAGCGTTTGAGCTAGGCCCCTTATTAGTTTTGGAGTGTGCTGTATGTGAGTCAGAGTGGAAAAACGTTCTAAAATTAGACGTGCATTGTTAAGAATTTTATTAAATGAGTTACATCAGTGTCTTTTTACATTACCACTCTAACGGACGATTCTCTGCGTACTCTCAGGCTGGTTGCTTGACTAAAAAAGGGGCTCAAGAGGCGAGAAACTTGTAGGGATTTTTAGGCCCGTGCACACAGGGCAAGGTAAAGCAGTGTGTTTGTGGGTACAGCGCTCCAAGGAACTGCGGCCTCTTTGTTCTTCTCTTACCTGTGCGAACACAGCGCCAGCCTTGTGTTTTCCCCCAAGGACAGCAGGTGGATGCTGCAGTTTCAGCCTCTTACATCAGACCCGAAGCTGAGCCACTAGACAAAAAAAGTGGCTCGCTCGTGAGATTAATGTTAGTTAAGGTGGGCTACACGGGGCGCTTTTCTCTTTTTAACCTCGTGCAGGGCCTGGCGTCTCGTAGCTCCTGGGATTTTCTAATTGTCCCTATTTTTTTTTCCCAGTCAGACTGCTCGGCGGAGAAGCCCTGATCCCGTTGCTCTGGGGTGGGAAGGGCCAGCGGGGCGTGCAGGAGAACCATGTCTGTTCGGGAGTCGTTTAACCCGGAGAGTTACGAGCTGGACAAGAGCTTCCGACTGACCCGCTTCACCGAACTGAAAGGGACAGGCTGCAAAGTGCCTCAGGATGTGTTACAGAAACTGCTCGAATCTCTCCAAGAAAACCATTTTCAGGAAGACGAACAGTTCCTGGGGGCTGTTATGCCCAGGCTGGGTAAGTAGGTGCTCCTCTAGGCACACGTGGTCCTGCTGTTTGTTTAACCCCTGTGACGATGTTGTGTGGTGTGTAACGCATGCGTTATCACCCAGACGTTGGAAGGATTCATCTGGTTGGCATCTGGGATGTGAGAATAATTATTTATCATCCTGCAGTGCGCTCAGCTATGAAAATAAAATGGTCAGGAATAGCCTTAATTAACAATAGGCACGTGCGTAGAGCAAGTTGCAGTCTCCCCCTTCACCCTCTTCCCCATAGATGCTTTGCAAACTGAAGTAATATCAGTTAATTTCTGGAGTGTTAAAGTAACGCTCTGCCTTTTAAAATTTGTGCAATGAGTAGTCCTTAGAGGTGAAGTTCCCCTCTCCCTCCCTTTTCCCTCATTCCTGGGGCAGAGAAAAGTGAGTGAGGGGAAACTTTCTCACGCCAGCTGATGCTGGGAGCGGATTGTTTCTCAGCTGTCATTTTTTTCCCTTTCGTTCCACCCCGCTCTACCCTTTCTGCTCACCTGTGGAAGCTGCCTGGGAAGGGCTCTTTCCAAGACCTCTGCGTTTCTTGCCAGCTTCACTTTCTCTTTGCTGTTTGCACAATGATGCAAGCAACAAGGGAAAACACCCCGCACAAGCCACCCTCACGGGGAGCAGGGCGAACGTAGGTGTTTTGATACCAGCTCCTGTGCCTAACGTTGATACAGATATATGCGTGTAGATATGTGCTTAATGACACTTTTAATTGTTTGCCTATTTACTCAGCCCGGCGTATTCAAGCTCTGCTTTGCAGCGCAGGTATGGATTTTTCCCTTAGCTTAGGAATATCAATGTAGTATTTATTCTGAAGTTATTTAATTATCAATTTAGCACCCGATAGCCTTTTTCAAAATTGTTTTAACGTGACTAATTGTCTGGTAGCAGGCTAACAGGTTGCAACCCGTTATTCCAGTGGAGATTGAATTCAGTGAGAGATTAGTAAGGAGCCCGTGTTCTGGCTTAGACAATAGCAATCTTATTGTGTGGAGCTGGGGTGGCACCAGTAATTTCATATTCCCTAATGAGGGACACTTGGAGCTTCTTTTATACCCAAATTGCTATTTATGTGTTGGTTTTTCCTTAATTAAATGTTATTCACAGGCAACATTTCAGTCTGGCCAATTTCTAAGATCAGTAACAGTTTGGTTTAGGTTTAATATTCTAGCTGTTTTTTTCCTCTTATAAACTTAGAGGCTCTAAAGTGTAATGGGAACTGCTAAGAGATTTTTCTCCAGTGTTATGATGAGATAAAAAGCAGAGTGATGCCATCAGTACCTAGGTGTGTTGCAATGTATCAGGAAATGTGTTAGCAGTAGGAGGTAGAGAGAGCAGATCTCTTTTTATATGTGCTTTTACGGTGAGTATCCCTTTGACAAATTTGTCCTCAGGTAAATGAGGTATTAATTACCTCTGATGCCTCGTGCTTAGAAGGGCTAGCCTGGAAGCTTTCCAGGCTCTGTGTGTGCACAGTGCTTTTGAGGTGCGCTCACAAGGGAAATTCCCACAAACAGGCTCAGCTTCGCTCAGTTTGAGTTTTAATGTGGCAATACCCAGAGCAATCTCAGAAACTACAAGCTTGGTACTAATTCTCTGAGCTGTTACATGTTTTCAGATTCTGATTCCATTTCTCTTATTTAATCAGCCTCCTTCATTTGTGTTTTTGTTTGTGTGGAACACAAATGTAGCCTCAGAAAGGCCGTGGTGCCCGTCTGTGTAACAGCACTTTCGCTGCAATGTCAAAAACCTCCCAAGCGCGCTCAGTCCTGCAACATTATGGCACAGAGGGGTGAGCTGAGAGCAAAGTAAATTCTGTATCTCCTCTGTAACTGCTCCAGTGCACTGTTCCAGAGATGTTAAGTGTCAGGCATAGCAGCTTGGAAGCTTCTGCAGAGGATGAGCAACCCTAAATTACTGCTTTTAGTACCCCTTCTCTTCTGAGGCTACATCTTCTGCCTCTGCAGCTCTCCACCTGCCTGCGTGGCTGCTGTCTGGCAGGCCTTCAGCTCCGTGCCCTCAGCAGGGGCTCGGATGGCAGCAGCTTGCTGGGTTCCTGCATAGGACGCTGCCAAATGCTGCCTCGTAGCTCTAGGTAGGTAGCACGTTTCCTTTCCTGCTTGTCTGAAGGGTCTCTCTTTGCGAGGTGCACAAAATAAAGCCAGGCAGCTCGCTGTCAGCCTGGGGAGGAAGGTGAGCTACCTGCTGCTGCCACGAGGCAGGATTTATCAGAATTTATCAACAGGGGGGACACGGTGCAGCTGCTGTGGGTTGGATTTGCCACCCGCTGCATTTTTGTGCAGGCCCTCACATCCCGGCGAGCGCCTGGAGGTTTTTACCGTTGCTTATTCTGTTTGAAACCTTCCTCCATCAGGGAAGGTTTCGTTTGGTGTGGTATTGTGGTTTTTCTCAAAGGAGTTTCCCTGCTTGGCAGATCGCCTGGCCGCCTTTCGGTCTCACAGAAGTAAGACGAGGTGAACGCAGAAGCTGCAAGTGGCAGAATCACCCTTCAAGGGCCGAGGCTGTGACTTAGGGTGTTTTTTTTTCTCCCTCCAGAAGTGAGGAAAGGCCCTTGATGGGAAGCTGTGCCCTTTGAGAACTGTCATTATGCTTCTGTCAGGATGGGAGTAACGGGAAAACCTTTTAGCTTGTGACAACGTCAGTTTACCTAGTTCCTTTTAACTGTAAGTGCACAGAGACACAAGCACAGATGCTAAAAGCAGCGTGCTTTCACCGTACTGCAACAAACCGGAGAAAGTTTCCTTCTCCCTTTCAGCCATTTACATTTCTGCTCTGTCCCAAGCAGGAGTTTCCATTCTTTTCTCACTTTTCCTCTTCTTTTTGCTCCGTGCTTTCTCCAGAGAAGGGATTTGCCACCTCTGTTCAGGCAGCAGTGAGAGCTGTATTCCACAGACGTTTTTTGTAAGGGCTCTTGTTGGGAGCAACAGCCAGCTGAGGACCGAGTTGCCTCACTGATGCATTTCTCTCTTTGCAGGAATTGGGATGGACACTTGCGTTATTCCATTAAGACACGGAGGTTTGTCGTTGGTTCAGACAACAGATTATATTTATCCTATTGTGGATGACCCTTATATGATGGTAAGTTGGCTAAATGGAATTA